TGCAGCACATGTGGGTTGGATCCCTGGGTCGGGAAGGTCCCCTGGAGAAGGGAATGGTAACCCACTCCAGTATTCTTGCCTGGAGAATCCCATGGATAGAGGAAACTGGCAGGCTATAGTCCATGAGGTCACAAAGAGTTGGACACAGCTGAGTGACTAACCAACAGTCTTCGTCTAGACCAGCAGTTACATGCTACACTGCTGATTCTGTGAAAAGTAGAAATGGAATCTACTCTGTTGCGCTGAATCCTGTTTCCATTACTTGCTCTCAATTTCCCTGAGCTTGTGTTTCCACTTGTAAAATAGTCATGCTAGCCTTTCATCCTGGAATTTTTTAGAAGATACACAAAAGCTTCTGGCATAGTTGCCATCTGTTCACCATTAGACCCCCTCTTCTCCCTGTTTTGATCCTGGTTGGCAAACCTGCTGTACTGTTTGGAGAACAGGGATTCTTGTTGGCTGCCTCTCACCTGAACCTTCAGTGACTTCTTTCTGTTGGTAAAAGCTCTTGTGACATATGCAGACCTTTAAGAATCCCTGGAGTTTATAAGGAGATGGGAGCAAATATTCTTTACTTCTTAGAATAGACCAGAGTTTAGTTGAAACTTCTTCACAAGGCAGAAACAGTGGGGTTCTCTTAAATGGGTTGTCTGTAAACATATTTTATGTTAACTGCACATGTGTTTTGTGCAGGACTAAGAGTGATCAGTGCTTTATCCCTGGGTCACTTTCTTAAGGAGAGGTTCTAGTTTCACTCTTGCGTGTCCCGTGTGGTCTTCTCTAGCTGATAAGATCTGTCCTCAGATTTGGTATTCAGTTCAGTTTCCTTTGTTCTGTGTGACATTTAAATTGCAGTAGCCGTGGTGTGGAGTGTGAGGTCGGACACCCTGGAGAGCACGCTTGGCTTCGCTCCACTCGGCCTCCCGGCTTTGCCTGCCCTACTCTTCTTTGGCTTCTTATCTTTAGAAGCAGACAACTCTGTGCAAGGTCCTGTGCCCTTCCTATCGCTGAGCTTTGGTTTATTGGCTGCTCGTATTCCGTATCCTGCTGATCTTAAAGTGCTCAGACGTTACCAACAGTCTTTAAAACTCATTCATTCAAGACTTCGGCTTTGACTTTTCCAAACTAAGATTACTTGATATTCTCATTGGCCATAAGGTAGTATTTCTTAATCAGGTCTTTAACCCTTGTCACTTCATTCTGTAAGGTCTCTAAGTGCTATCAACCTAATATACATATTAGTACATACTATTTTTTTAATTTTTTCCTTCTCATTTTTTTTACATTTATTTTTATTAGTTGGAGGCTAATTAGAGTATTGTAGTGGTTTTTGTCATACATTGACATGAATCAGCCATGGATTTACATGTATTCCCCATCCTGATCCCCCCTCCCACCTCCCTCTCCACCCGATTCCTCTGGGTCTTCCCAGTGCATACTATTTTTATTTATTACTTTACTTTTCAGTTCCTTTAACTGAAACCATCTAACCAGTGACCCTGATTTAGATATCCTGTTTCAAGTTGATTCTAACTTGCTGTCTGACTTTACACAAATAGTTTAACTGTACGCACTGAACCAAAATTTACCTTAACCAGTAAAATGAGGATTGGATTAGATCAGTTTTTCAAAGCATTCTTTGGAGTTGGTTGGGGCAGGGATGGGTAGAAGAGATCTTGATAGGTAGAAACCCCAGGCTTCTCATTCAGGTGATTCTTAAGATTAATGAACAAGGATACCATCTGTATCACAAACAGGTTGAAACTCATGATGGCAAGAGACATCACAAGTCTGGTTCCTGACTGTTTTCACCAAGGATCTGGGCTGGCCACCCCCACGCTCCTGTCCCTTTTGCTTCTGCTCATACTGTTCTCAGCAGCAAAAGTAGATTATTTGTAAGCCTCCCTTTCCCATCTTCAAAAGGCCCTCATGTAAAAATGCCATGTCCCTTTAAGAAACTTTCTCTAAGCAGCTGTCCAGCTTCCCCAAACCCCTGTCTTTACCTGGTGGCTCAGTACTCTGTCTTTCTGGCAGTTGTTTGTGTGAAGCTCAGAGGGGCAGGGTAGTGCTTTCTCCATTCTGTCTTGCATTGTGTCTTTCTAAAATGCCATGAGTTTATCATATGGCTAAAAAAACCTCTCTCTTTTTCAGGATCGAATCATCAATTTAGTTGTTGGCAGCTTAACATCTTTACTGATCCTAGTAAGTATCTTTGTGTGGCAGCCAGGGTCTTAGCCAAAGTTTGAAAACCTTAATACTGCAGTTCAGTCAGCTCCTCAAAACCTTAACGGGCGTACACGAGCATGGAACGTTCCACCTGCAGTTAAAGCAATGCTCTCAATCTTACTAACACCTGAATAAAACTGCATCTGGTGTAAGTGGAGTAGCTAGTTGATTTCCACTCTCACCCCCTGGGTGAGATTTGTAGTATGTGAGCGGCTACTGGCAACTCCCTGCTGTATGTAACCCGCAGCTCTGCTGCTATCTTGACATTTATTTTGTTCCTAAAGTACATTCATTATCCTTTGGTTTTAAAAGATTATTTTAATTTCTCATTCTGTATACTAGAGTTTGGTGCTATCAAAATAAAACAAAGCTACATGTCCCAGTCTGAGAATGGCCTTTCTTTGGCACATTTTTAGTAAATCTAAGAGAATTTTGGTGAAGTCTCTTTCTATGAATTCTTCATAAAAAGAATGGGTAACGTTATATTTAAGGTAGAAAGAGAACTTATAGGGTATTAGAAATCTATTTTTTAGTATTTTTCATGTTAAGCAAAAACAGTTTTGGATATATATATATTTTTGCTGGTATACTCAAAATGACAAAAAGGTTAGAACTTTCCCCAGTATAGTCATTAATCCTGGGGAATGTTGTTTAACTGCTTTCTAATCTTTGTTGATGAAGAGGTTTATTTTGAGGTTAGCTAGTTTGATTGCTTCATGGTGGTTTGTCTCCTTTCATAAAAGAGGAGGTCAGGAAGATTAAGTGGAAGTACTAAAAGGAATAACACAATTGAAAAGATTTAAGTATTTTATTAAACATTAACATTCCAGAAGACAAACCTGGTGGTAGATAAGATGCCATTTCACCATTTGGAGCATTTTATAATGTTACTTTGCCTAGATGCCAGTCTAACCAAGTCTTGGAATTACTCCTGAGGCCTGACACACTTTCTTTTCATACAGGTAACGCTGATTAGTGCTTTCGTTTTCCCTCAACTACCTCCAAAACCGTTGAATATATTTTTTGCTGTCTGCATCTCTTTGAGCAGTATCACTGCCTGCATACTTGTGAGTACTACTGAGAATTTAAATTCAGTATCCTTGAGGGCTGATGGTTGCAGTGCCTGGGACAGAATTCCCAGCCCTGGTAGAAATCTGTATGAAAAGGTGTCTCTAATACACCACTCCTCTCCCCCAAAGGATGTCACAATTCTCATTGTTAAAATCCCAGGGTATTTTTTTTTTAAATTTGTCTCCTTTTCTCTTAAATCCCAAAGTTGTAACCTTGTAACCCTAAAAGGCAACTCTGTTCCCTTGATACAAAAAAAGAAAAAAAAAAAAAAAACTTAGGTCACCAAAGATATGATGTAATTTAATTCATCTTCCTTCAAAGACTACATACAGAGCCCAACAGTCTTTGGGAAATGTTATTACTCCTCTAATAATTACAAAACTAGTCTATTTTAATCTTTGAGTATTAGCTCCCCAAATGAAAGTAATTAACACCAAAACCTCTTGAGAAAACTAAAGCTACAGTTGTATCTTTTTCACAAGAATGTTCAGTTTTTATACTACTACTAAGAAGCCTTTCTGTTAGGTAAAGAAACAAAGACAGTAGCCAGTCCTCAGTTGGGTATTTGCCAAGTCATCATTAGTTGGCGGCTGTTTTCATTTCCCTTGAGGAAAGGCAGAATCAAAACCCTTAAACATAATTGTTTTGACTCACTATAGAGCTTAAATCATAAATAATAATGTGCCTCTCTGAGTTAAAGGGGACATTTCCCAGCTTCAAATTCAGTGACTGTTATATTCCTTTGACCTGAGGGAAGGAGTGGCCCCTCGGACTTTGAGAGCTTGGGGGAACAAAGCTCCTCTCCCACTCCCAGCCTAGAGCCAGAGTGGCTGACAGTGATCTTTAATAGTTTAAACTAGAGGTATGCATGTGTAAAGCTCTGGTTTTGTTGGCGATTTGAATCAGTTAAAGGAATTTAAAAGTTGTCCTCCCTTTCAGTACTTTAAAAAGTTGGTAACTTTTACTCACATATAATTAAAATACCTGTAGAAGATAGATATATATTCTTGGATGACTTGCCAAATGATTGGTGGACTCTTGGTTTCAACATTGAACAAAGTTAACTGAGAAAGCAGGAATAAAGTATGATTTTGGATATAAGCTCAGCTGGTACTACTTGAATTACAAAGAATAAAATTCTGGCTGCCTTAGCCTCACTTAGGGGGAAAAGTATATATGGATTGACTTGGTCACAGTGGAAAAGAATTAGTTGTATTTTAAATTTTTAATATTCAGTCCAGTGCTATTACTTAAACTTCTATTTAATTCTTCTTCTTTTAGATCTACTGGTATCGACAAGGAGATTTAGAACCGAAATTTAGAAACCTTATTTACTATATCTTATTTTCTATCATCATGTTATGTATATGTGCGAATCTGTACTTCCATGATGTGGGAAAGTGAGGCTGCCAAGAGATACACTCACCATGTCTCTTCAAAGCAATACATTTGGACTCGAATAAGAGCTGGATAAGGTATGCTGAAGAGTCTCCTGCACAACTCTTGATACATGATTTTCATGTTAATTGTAAATCTAAATTCCCTCTTGCAGGGGAGATATATCCTATATCACTTTGCTTTTTCTTTAAGGAGCCGATGTTGCACTTAAACATTACCCCTTAAAGCACAAGTCATTTTCTCTTTTGAAATTTTTTATATAAAGTAATTGCATGGCGCAAGGCTATGTAACAAACAATCTTGCATTTTAAGACAAATATTCTTTTATTTCTGTTAAACTGAATATACAATTATTGTTCCCTAGGCAACCAACTTTTGCTTATAACTACAATTTCACGTTAACAAAACACAGACGGTGAAAAGACAACTTTGATTGTGTAGATCTAATTACAATAATAAATAAAATAATTTATACAAGTTTTTTTTTTTTTTTAACTTTTTCTATAGGGGTCATATTCATTAAAGCCCTAGAGGCTAATTTTGGCTTAACCTTCTCTAGTATAGGAATGACTCTTGGTTTGTTTCCTTTCATTAAAGAAGCAAATTTTGTGTTTTTAAATTGCCTGAGAGGGAGAAGTTATATCAAACCCCCACCAAGTTAATGCACTAAGTGAACGGCAAACTGATACTCTGCGACTTCCTGGGTAATTTACATAGCAAAACATGTAATAAAAGGTCATGGTACAGGATAGGCAACTTAGTACTTCTTTCCCATTTAGTTTTACTTCAAAGTGCTAACTTTGTAAACTGGTGACAGTGGGCTCTGAGGGATGAAAATGCTTAGCTTCTGGTGAATTTTGTTTTACCACTCTCATCCATATTCCCTTTAAAAAATAATTAAAAAAAAAAACCTGTAGTGAATTTTCTAAACCCTTTTAATACTCTTCTCATTACCCAGCCCAAATCAGCTCCCACTGCCAGCAATGGGTAAACCCAAATAACCCCCACACAATCACCTCAAGTCTCAAACTACTTAGAAGATATCTCTGTGCAGGTCGTCACTGGGAAGCTCTAGAGCATGTTAATGTGACTTCTCTGAAATATAAACAGGCCTACTTGAGGCCGACAGAGTGCCATGTCTGAACTGTAGAGATGAATATTACTGCTTTTTAAACAGTAGTTAAGCTTTGGCGATTTTAAAATTCTCTCAGCTAAAGTGAATCAAATTCCCTGCTGACAAAAAACACTAATCACTGGGATCTCTGCAGTTAAGACCCTAGTGCTCCACTCAACTACACACTGTTGTAAGACTAGACCTCAGATGATATATTTAAAGAGGTAAAAAGTCATAGCAGCAACACTGTATGTGGCTTGAGCACTGCAGCTATTCAAAAGCCAGAGGAATGGTAAATTTAAGCCTCTTGGGGGTTGCTCCTATTTCTTTGGAGATATAATGAACAGTGTGACTTTGCCTGAATGGCTTGTTTCTAAGAATTACCTAATGACAGTGTACCAAATCCTCAACATCTTTTGAGTCTTCTGAGACAGGACTGCCCAGAGATGATCCAATGATGTTTGATTCTTCTCGATGATGCTGGAGTATGGGATCTGTAATGAGATAAGTTTCAAGTTGATCCTAAATGTGTATATATCTTCTAATCCACATCAAAGAATTTAGAATAAGTGTTCTTCTACCAAAGTGAAAATTTAACAGGACTCAATGCTTGATTTCCCCCTTAAGATTTATCAGGCACACGATGGAGTTACAGTACCTGTTAGTGTTGTCAAAGGCAAGACGGATTCAGTATCTATAACATCAGATGTCTGGATAAAGCCATGTGGTGAAGGAACAATAAGTATCGTTTCATCATCAATTGTTGTTTGATGAACTTGCTCTTCTATGGTAGGAGACCCTAAATCCTAAGTAATAACAATTAAAAAAAAAAAAAGATTCTGTCTCATATTCCTGGTTTCCCTTAAGTCCCCAAACACATTTAGGCTTGAAAGGACTTTGAAATATTATCCTTAAGTTAGAATATAAAGAAACCAAAGTTAAGGTCTTAAAACAGACAAAAATAATAATAACCTCACACTCTGATGTTTTACATACTAGCAAAAAAAATAATTTAAAAGAGTCAGTTCAGTGACAGGTCCTGCTGTTTCACTGTGGGATGAGGTTCCTAAGCTGAACCACGAAGATTTGTTACAAACCACCCACAGGAAGATGGTTTCCACAAACATTTCTCAATCTACTGGGGGTTGGCGAGGGAAAGGCTTCAGTGAGGAACTGTAGGAAGAGCACAGCCCTGCTGGATGAATGACACTTCTCAGGGAGAGGTTTGCACATTGAGTATGTGTCTAAAAGAAAATAGGAAAATAAATAAATAAATAAAATAAAGTAGGAATGTTCTGAGGACATCTTTCCATGAACAATTTCTAGGCTTTTCCCAAACTGCAGGTTTGAGGCTTAAGGCTGTGTAAGTGCAACTTACCTCAGTAACATAAGCCCGGGCTAATGGGGAGGGTTCGTCCTCTTGTTTAAGGTGGGTGTCAGAGATTTCTTCTCCTGTTCTGACCATAATGCTATTCATCAGTTCTGTGCTATTTTGGTCACTGAATTTGGATATATGAGCATCAATAAATGACGGCTCTACTGTAATCTTAGGCTGATGAATTTCATCTGGGAAAGTGTCTGCTTCTAGGGCATCTGGAGGCTCAGGAAAATCAGATGAGTGAATATCACTATCCACAGTCAGTTCTGCTTGGGATATGGAAGAGGCGATGTCCTCTGTGGCAACGGTCTGAATGATGACTCTTGGTGCGTGACACTGCACTGTGACGTCACTTGTGTTCAACAAATGTTCTGGCTACAGAATGTTAACGAAAACAATCAGTGGCAAGATGAAAAAGTACATACCAGCCTAACGTTACAGACAACAAATGACATTTACATGTGGTACCCTGGCGTCCCCTCCATGCCTCTCACCTCTGGATCTGCAGTGTTCTTACCAAGTTCCTCTAGAATTCCTGTTTCTTGACCTACTGCAGCCTCTGCACTCCTAAGAGCCCCTTTCCCCTAATGTACGTCCATCTCATGCATAGGAATGAGGGAGGCACCCCAGTGCAGGTGTAAAACATGCTCCTGGGACAACAGTGGTAGAAGAATAGTTTAAATCCATGGATTACAGTAGTATTGGCTCTTAATATTATGTATCAACTAATTCTGGTCCCTAACAGGTCCTGAAGTCTTGGAGCTCAAAATTTCTCTCCCCCCTCCCCCAAGGTATGAGTTCTATCTCTGGTGACACTTATCAGTTTAGCCAGTCTTTTCTACAGAAACTAGAAAAATCAAGGAATTTATGTAAGATGACATACAGATAAAGCATGAACAATGATCTGCTCAGGAGAAGCAGGAGCCGCAGCTGCCAGGGTGACTGTGGGACTCGCAGTCAGCGTGAGGGGAAGGCCTTGGCTTGAGCTTGTCTGAAGCAGGTAGGTGCCTGGAGTACCAGTGGGCTGTAAATGGAAAGACTAAAGGAAAAAGAAAAATCTGGTCAACACAGGTGCATCATACCACTGAGTAAGCAGACTTAGTGCTCACTACGTCTAGCTTTACATCCAAAATGGGGACTTTACTGCTAGTAAAGTACAAATGTACTTGATACCAATCATGAAGGTGCAAATAATAAAATAAAAAGCACAATATTCTGGACTATTTATATGTTGTAAGTCATTTCACAGCCTGCAGGTTTAACAAAGAGGCAAGGCCTTGATCCTACTCTTCACGCCCTGTGTGTCTATGGTCTGGTTTCAGCTCAATCTCAGTCCAAGACACAGCCTCATAAACTACTGTTTCCAGTGCAGTAACCCAGCACACCGTCTTTATCCTTTCTCTGTAGCACATAAAACCTAGCAGTCTCCCAGTTAAAAAGCTTCACATCTTTGAAAAGGCACTATGGCAGTGTTTACTGACTTGAATAGATTTTTTTTCATAGTATAATTTTGGAAAATTTTTATGTTAGGAGAAGAGGTACAGAAATAGCAATTAGTCTTCTGCTGAAAGAAAAAAATTCCTAATTGAAAACTGCTTAACTGATAGTATGTTTAGATGTTTTATGGAAGTGTAACAAAACTACTGGAACAGCAACACACGTTTCACAACCATGAGCTTCTCCATGGTAATGCGAGTTTGGTTTACCCCAAAACTCTGAAGGAAGAGCATGTGCATGTAGAGCTGAAGGTGAAGGTCATGTATCCTGGTCTCTAGTCCGACACGGTCTTGTGGACTTCCTCCACGGCAGCTCTGCTGGCTCCTGACTCACTGAATCTAGGTTTCTTAAACATGAAAGCAGGGATAATAACTACTTCTCACAGAAAGGTTTGTTGAGGATTAGAAATGACTGTGATGGTGCTTGGCACACACTTGGGATTCAACTCACTTTTCCCTCTCCCTCTTCATAAAAGTGTAAGCTGACTGTTTTTCTAAAGGTTGTATTTATTCATCACATATCATCAGATGATATAGTAAATACTTTGTATGCACATGTATATCATATATGCATATTTTAATATACTTAATACATTTAATGCTTATACATTTTTGGAGCTGAGGCACTATTATGCTTTATTAATTAGGACAGAAGTCTCTAAATCTTTGATTGTGACCTCATAAGTTAAAACCTGAACACATACCTCAAATATATGTGTGTACATTATTTATTTGGCCAGGGGGAAAGTGGCAAAAAAAGGTAAAACAAATTTCTGTTTTGTACCTGTGACAAATGACTTTCTTTTACAACCCTATTTTGAAAACCACTGAATGAGGAAACTGAGGCTTAGGTTAAGTAAGCAGACTAGTAGAAGCTCCGAAAGAGAATCTTTTGCTCCGTGGGCCATTATGAGATTTGGCTGTGTATAGGATATAAATAAACTCATGCACTAGTACTCCTTATATTTTTCAGAGCAAATAAATCTTGACATAATTTAAATAAAATACATTTTTTCTTCATGAAAACTGAGCCAATAATTTTGGGTTTACCTATTTTAGAAATCAGGCAAAGAACTGGGGCTGTTTTTCAATTTTCATAACCCCCCCAAAGAAATTACATTTAAATTAGCAGACATATCCCATCTCTCCCCCAAAAATTCTTAGCATAGTTAACCTCTAATCTATGTTCTGTCTCTATAGGTTTGCCTAGTTTTGACGTATCAAATGTGAGTCCTGCACTATATATTTTGTGTCCCATTTCTCTCACTTTGCATAATGTTTTCAAGGTTCATCCTTGTGGTAGCATATTTTTTACTGCTAAATAATCATTTGTATGTCTACAGCACATTTATCCATTTATCAGTAGATGGACATTTGGATTATTTCTACTTTTTAGTTATTATGAACATTCATGTACAAGTTTTTACATGGATATAGTGTTTTCATTTCTCTTAGGTATTCCTGGGATTAGAATTGGTGGGTCATATGGTAACAATATTTAACCTTTTAAGGGACTGCAAGATTCTTTGCCTAAGTGGCTACATCACTTATGACTAGGACTTTTAAACCCTGTATCCTCAATGGCTAGTGCAGTGTTACTCTGTTAAATAATTCATTCCAGAAACTTTTCCTCAACCAATATGAATTTTTTAAGTATATATTTATAATTCGATAGAAATATGTAGCATGTACCCTACATGTTAGCATTGCCATTTTCATCTATATACGAAAAACACGTTATTGGTTTATATCAGATTGAAAAATTAATTATAAAAAGTAGAAGTCTGATTTATGTTGTCTTCCAGCCATCTGGCTTCCAAACTCATGGATAGTTACACGTAATGACAGGTTAATTTTTCTATCTCACTTGCTCATGCAGCATCTCTAACAGCGACGTCAGCTGCTCTTGCGCACTAGGCTCTGTAAGGCGGCTACTCACTGGGAGGATCTCAAACGTCTGCAGTGCTCCGCTGTTTAGTGTTATTGTTTCCGAGTCAACAGCAGCAGCGGCGGAGTCTGCTGAAGCTGTGGCAAGAACAAGGACAATAAACAAAACACTTTCTAAATTTCAATTTCCTTAGTGTACTCAATTAACTAGGAGGGCCATCTCATATTGAATAACTGGCCTGGAAACCCACAATCATTTAAATTTAACATAATGGATCTGTCTGGGATGGCACAGATAAGGGTCAGCAAACCATGACCCACGGCCAGATCCAGCTCACTACCAGTTTTTATAAATGGAAGTTATTAATAGGGACACAGTCAAGCCTGCTTGGTTATGTATTTTCTGTAGTTGCTTTTGCACTACAAGGGCAGTTGAGTAGCTATGACAGAGACAAAATTTGCTAATCCTGGGATAGATCATAAAATATTTCTAATGTTAATAAGAAAGAGGAATACACTAAGGCTAACCTGCAAAGATACAGGAACTTGATAAAATGCTAAGTTTTCCTGTACCTTTTGGTAAGAAGGTACAGATATTTGGAATATAGAGATGTCCGAGAACCCTAGGCTTTAGTTCTAGTGACATCACTTCTGGCAATGTAAATCCAGGCAAATAACTTACTTCAATCCAAACTAGTGTTCAGAGACTTTACTTGCCCTGTCTATCACATACAGTAGTTGTGAGGATGAAAAATATGAAATACATACAGTATTGTTTCAAATGACTGTACTGGGTGAATAAATAGCACTTTAGAGATCAGACAGGTATGTCAACTGAAGCTCAAGCTTCATTTTGTCTGCACAAGGTTATACACAACTACAGCAGACTAGAAGAAATGTGAGCTCTTCTGGTGCTTTCAGTCCCACTTGTAGGTACATCCATGTGGAAAATGATTTGAAATTGACTTCTAATGTATGATGTTTATTGTTTATTATATTCTGACTATAATACTTCTCAGTTTCAGAGAAATGCACTTAATTCCTGTTATTTCTCTTACTAGTTCATGGATTCTTAAGATCATACATAGAAAAATTTGATTTCAGATAAATAACCTAAATCAAAGGTAAGCAAATTATGGCTGGGGACAAATGTGGCTCAAGGCTAAGAATGGTTTTTACATTTTTAGAGGATTGTGTAAAAACAAAAACAGAAAATTCCATAGAGATCTATCTGGCCTTGGTCTGCAAAGCCTAACATATATTTACTTATCGGGCCCTAAATAGTCTGCATCCCTGACCTCTAATAAAGAAAGAAACAACCATGAGATTTTAGCTCAAATGCCAAGAATAATGGGTGTCTTGTAAAACTTACTGTACCCGTTATTTCTTACTGGATGAAATAAAATTATTCTAATACTTAAAAAAGCATGCTGTGAATGAATATTAAGGTACCATCTATAAAATGTTTGCTATTTCTCAGTAAGTATTACCAACCCAGTGGCAAAGGAAAATTATAACTTTCTCCATGCATAAATAATTTTTAGTCAACAGAATGTCTCATATTTATGGTGGATTAGTAATTTCAGTTGCTTTGCAATTCTCAAGACTATAAAACAAAACAAGCAGGGTTAAAGAAAATAAATTCTTCATGTTTTACTATATTGATAGAAAGCTAAAGCACATTTAATATTATTAATAATAAGCACATTTGAATTAGAACTTTAAGAATAAGACAAGCATAATTAATTTAAACATCTGCCATGGAATTCCCAGAAATACAGTGTTAATAATGCCAATTAAGTGGTCCAGAGATTCTCAAATGCAATCATAGAGTACATATGAACACCTGTAAGTTGCCTGTATCTGTCATACTGACTGGAAAGCATTGTTTGGCATTTTATGGCTGACGTCAGGGGACCCTACACATTCTGCAGTGTGTAGGAGGACATCCTGCCAACAGAGAACTGTCCCACTCAAAATGCCAATAATCCCTGGATTGAGAATAACACCCAGTGATTGAAAAACTCTTAGCAATGGCCTTTCTATAGGCAAATAACATTGTGTAGGGGGAAAAAGTGAGATAAAAATGAAAAAATAATATGGTTCTGAGATTTTTATCCTAATTCTTTCCTTTTCTGTCCCTCTATAATAAAGGTAGATCAACTTGGCTTAGATCTTAGAAAATGAATTTCTCTCCCTATGACTCACTGGGTTCTCACCTCATTAAGCACAAGAAGATGTTAGTCAGAGGCTAAGGAGAAGAGAAAGTTGAAAGTCACTCAGTTGTATCTGACTCTTTGTGACCCCATGGACTGTGGTCCGCCAGGCTCCTCGGTCCATGGAATTCTCCAGGCCAGAGTACTGGAGTGGGTAGCTGTTCCCTTCTCCAGGAGATCTTTGCAACCCAGGAATCAAACCCAGGTCTCCCAAATTGCAGGCAGATTGTTTACCAACTGAGCCACCAGGGAAGCCTCTCTGTTTATACCAGAGAGGTAAACAAAACAATCCCTGCAGGAAACTGGGTCTTTACTCCCTAAAGAAAATCTTTTTCAACCTCATCAAAATCCATTTCTTCTACATTTCACCTCAAATCCATTCCTCATTTGTATGTCTTCTGGTGAATTACTACAAATGATGTGCCATCCTAGAGACTCTATGTCCTTGCTTAGCTGACAAGTAAGCTATTATTTTAAGTAGTTTTCTATTAACCATTTATTCTTTATAACATCTAGAAAGTAAGATGATTTAAAATGGTTGATAATGGCTGGGTAGTAGGTTATCAGTCTTTCCTGTCACACATTCATCCTTTGCAAATATTTATCAAGCTAATAAACATAAAATGCCTTAGATCTCCTTTAATTTGTCAAGTTGGATAAACTTCTGTCAAAAATCTAGAAAACTGAAAGGTGTCAGGCGCATTCACTAAATCACACAGGTCAAATAGCAAGGAGTTCTGAGGTTACTTACAGACGTGGGTGATCTGGACGGGAATCTGCAGGGCTGTCATGGGGCTTGGAGAGATGGCAGCATTGTCTTCCAAGCGGGCAACTCTGATCTGAACATGCTGTACACTGGAATTGGAATTACTGTTTGGAACTCCAGGTCCTGATTTATTCTCCAAAAGCGTTGGGTTGTTTTTTTGATTTTCATGTAACTGTTTAAGACCTTTTATCAAGACTGAAGGGAGATGGGTAGACAAAAAGAACATTGATTCTCCGACAGACCACCATCTAAGCAGCAAGGGAGGTGGGGGGTAAGGAGGGAAAGTATTTGGAATAAATAGTTGTATACAGGATATGACATCTTACCAAAATAATAATAAAAATATTTAAAAGCCATAACTTGTCTGGAAATTTTTGGAAACTTTATCTATATCAAAAATTTTTTTACAAAATTCACAACCAAATATTGTTCTTGCCATCAAAGCTACATTAATAGCTATTGTAAGGAACATGGAAACACAACATTTTCTATGTCTTAGGGCTTCTTGATAAAATTCTTATTTAGGAAGAAAACTAACTAACATTTTTATTCAGTAATGAATTGTGTACCCAGCCCCTGCCCTGACTCAAATGGCACTTGACTGTTTTGGCCACTGCAGGAACAGTCAGTTGGCTGTCATCTAACTTACAACCTCAGAGTGGCAGCTGAGCTTTTCGCAACAGCAGTATGCAAATGACTTGAGCCAGCTCCTCTACTAACCGTGATAGATTACATCAGTCATCCCAGGTGATGCTGCACCTGGCTGGTTCCTGTTACATTTAGTATTCCTTCATTCTCCTGGTTATACTACAATTTTTACAATGCAAAATAAATTTGTAACTGGGTATTTAGGGGAAAAGAAATCACATTTTTATCAAGCCAAATTGCTCAGCATTTAATTTTTCTTTGCAAAAATGAAGCTGGAGCATTACATCAGTGAGTGAATCTGATTTCCTAAATCAAAGACTGTACTCCCTGGTTCAGTGTCTAAGTACAGAGCAGACAGTGAAGTGGAAAGTAAGCTATACTTCACTTTTAAGCAAAACTAAGATCTTTAGATTTACACAATAAATGAAATTAGAAACTTCCCAGCCTTTGTTCTACAAAATAAATCTCCACAGAATTTCTCTAAATAATGCAGTTAAGTAATTTGAAATTACTCAATTCATAAAAGTTGATTTAAATGTAATTTCTTACACCTTTGTATGCAATGAAAACACACGTGAAATTTATTTCCTCTTCACAGTTTATGTGAGAAGAATATGTATAAATATGTGTAATTCCATCCTTGGTGGTTTGAGAATTACAAATCATATTAACTCTGCTCAAGGAAAGTTTGTTACCCAAAGAAACAGGACAGAGGTTGAAGTAAAAATCTACCATGATTCATCTCTCTCTAGCTTAGGCAAAGAACTTCTAACAGCTAATTCCTTGAGTACTAAATACGGTAAGATAAGGTAAGGACTTAAGGAGCAAATGATACATTACCAGGGAACGAAACATCCTTATGGTTTGCGATTTGCCTTTTGATGGTCCACCATTTACTTCGAAGCCACTGTGGTGAACGGACACTGCTCCATCCCTCCGCTAACAGATCCCAGTTTATATCATTTTCATCAGCTACATCAAGTTCTGCTATCCTATAGGTTACAAAATAAGCATCTGTGAGATGTTTGTTTCTCCGCAAGAATCGTCCTCTAACTATAGGTGATGGCACCGGCAATAAAGGGAATGGCAGAGTATGTCACTGAGATGCTAGGTACATGGGAAAGGATTGACTGCGGGAGTGCAGGCCTGCTTCCTGAGCTATGAGCTAAGATGCACCATAGTGATAGCCTTTCGTTAATGGTACTACCAATATGCTGAACCATAAAAATGGTCAGAACCAGAACTGTGAAGGAAAGGGAAGAGCTAAAGGTTAGAACAGAATAAGAACAGGTTTAGTTGTATAGTGTTCTATAATGTTTTGTAGTGTGTTATATAATGCTATTTCCTAGATCTGAGCTCTTCCACTTGTAAAATAAAATTACGTAGCAAAGAATGGGGCTTCCCTCGTAGCTCAACTGGTAAAGAAATCTGCCTGCAATGCAGGAGAACCCAGTTCAATTCCTGGGTTGGGAAGATCTGCTGGAGAAAGGATAGGCTACACACTCCAAGTGGCTTGGGTTTCCTTGATGTCTCAGGCTGGAGTAGAGAATCAGCCTGCAATGTGGGAGACCTGTGTTTGATCCCTGGATTGGGAAGATCCCCTGGAGAAGGGAACGGCTACCCACTCCAGTATTCTGGCCTGGAAAATTCCATGGACTCTATAGTCCATGGGGTCGCAAAGAGTTGGACGCGACTGAGTGACTTTCACTTTCAGAAAAGAACTATTTATAATGACTAGCTGGGGAAAAGCTATATTAAAAATAAAACTCAAAAGAAGGGACTTTCCTGGTGGTCCAGTGGCTAAAATTCCATGCTCCCAATGCAGGGGGCCCAAGTTCAATCCCTGGTCAGGGAACTAGATCCCACATGCTGCAAATAAATATCTTGCATGCTGCATCAAAGATGCCGCTTGTCACAATTAAGACCTGACACATCCAAATAAGTAAAATAAAATATATTAAAAAAGATAAAATAAAAATAAAACTCAAAAGAAAATGATAAAAAGATAAAACAATGCTTGAGCAGAAACCCCAAGCCCCACAATTAACACAAAATAATACAGCTAAATTTGGGGTTTTAATGGTCTATATGTTTTCTAGTAAACTGTCAGGATTTTGATTTTCAGTAGGGAGTAGCCACAAAAGTTCCTGCTGGTATTTTTGGCCACTGAATCACAAACCAACTAATTTAACAATAAGCTTAGGATTATTATCTAAAAGCTATCTTTGGATATGTGTGAAATGGAAGTGTCTTAATTTGGTCCAATTTGAAGGTGGGAGATAACTAACGTGGGTTATCTTATTCGCACAGTAGCCAAAGATTGAAGGGCATGGAGACTGACAGCCCTCTTACCCTCAACACGGTCCCCTCGGCCAGGACTGAGGCACAGTGGTGGGACAGTGGAAAAGCTGCACTGCCGCGGCCTGTGCCACACCTGTTCTGCGGACAGAGAGAGGACTTCAGTCTCCACGCCTTCAATCTGGTACTTTGCACGAGCACTAAATCCACTAAAAGAGGAACAAACACAAAACAAAAAAGAGCTCAATATGAAACAGTTTGGAGTTTAAACAGTGGCTCTCTGTGGCAAAGATGCTTCTCCGACGTTAGGCGTCAAAAGTCCATGAAAGGAGGGAAGCCAGTCTCGACAGCCACAGCAGCTCTGCATGAGCAGCCCTTCCCACGGGAAGGCTCAGGACACGCACCTGAGGACGAGGTTGGTCTCGTCCTCCTTGGTCCACTCGGTGCCCCCGCTCTGCTTCCAGTTCAGGTAGTTGAGCCACTTGGAGCGGCACTGCTTTTCTGAGCGAGTGCCCACACGCTCCGCCACAGCTGCCCAAGACACACCCTGAGTGACTGTGTCACCTGGCTCGGTGCTCGTCAATTCGTGCACCACCTCCGCAAGTCTCTTTTCCTCTTCTTCTGTCCACTTCCCTGAAAGGAGGAGAGTATCCAGATGACCACTGCTACCTTTTTCTTATTTTGCAAGTCAGATTCAGCACTGTATTTCAAAGGACTGATCGGAAGTATGCAGCAGTTGTCAGCATTATTTCTGAATGACATACGGAAAACCTGTATGTAACTACTAAGACAGTTACCAGCCCAGTAAGGTCCTTAGTGGGCTTCCAGGTGGCTCAGTGGTAAAGTCTGCCTGCAACACAGGAGATGCGGGGTTGATCCCTGGGTCGGAAAGATCTCCTAGAGTAGAAAATGGCAACCCACTCCAGTATTCTTGGCTGGGAAATCCCAGGGACAGAGGAGGCTGGCAGGCTGTAGTTCATGGGGTCACAAAGAGCTGGACACGACTTGGTGACTAAACAACAAAGGTTCTTAGTACTACAAATGAAAACACAGCATCCTAATAGAAAGCACCGACTGACTCTTTAAGGAAAGAAAAACAATCTAAAACATGGCTAGAAAGAATTATATTCTCTCAAGTTATACTGAGTCCTAACTGGGAAGTGTTCTGTTGATGGCTTGATGGACACAGAAACTCATACTTTTTTCTTAGTCCCACGAAAGATTTCCTGCTCTGCAGAAGTGTAGTAGTAAGCTCAACAGAAACCTTTACTTAAAGGAATGAATGAAGATGGACAAATAGAACAATACCTATGGCTTCCCACCCATTTCAATAAAAACAAAAACTTGGTTTATACCACTTCCTGTCCCAACTCCAGGCTGCTGTGATAAAATACCAGTCTGAGACTGGTATTCACACATATTTCTGTTTCAGTTTTTTTGAATCCATAAACCTGCTAACACTATCACATGTTCCCTTTGGTCTTTTTCTTTAAAAAAGCTTAAGCGGAAAAGCGGGGGAAAAAAAAAGAACCGTTTTAAAACGTCTTCCACTCTAAAGTTTCTATTTTAGTAGTAGCTGCAAATTTCAAAAAGGCCATGTGCTTGCCTTTCCGGGATTCATTAATTCATCTGCTAAGCACAGCTCTGGATACCAGAGATTCAAGACAAAGTTCCTGCTCTCCTATTTTAGTATGGCAAAAAAGGAAGGGGAAACTCAGACTGTCGTCTCATGGTGTGGTCAAAAGACAAAACTCCTGATCCAAAACAATAAATAGCAACAAGGAAAAGTAATGGCAGAGCACTCCTTCAGGCTGGCAATCAGGGAATGCCATAATGTTTTTCCATTATGCTCACAAAAGGGCTTCTATACTCAATGTCTTACATCAAACTCTGGGGTCCCACTGTAAACCCAAAGCTCCCATTTCTGCTTCATTCACTACACAATAAGAGTGGTGAAATTTATGTTTTTACTGCCTTAGAGGTAATACTGCTGGTGGACTGGTTAAGCAGGAAACATTCCTGATTCCACTTTAGGGGGTGAGATCAAAAATATATTCCCGAGAAGCTTAAGCCTAGCTTGAGAATGAACTGAACTTATTTCTAATTGAAAGACTGAGCACAGGTTGTGGATCCTTCAGATAACTTGAGGGCTAAAAAGCGAACTATGAGATCATTTATTCTACCTTCATCATTTTACAGAGGAGACAGGTTGTAAGTGAGAGTTGGTGGTGGAGCCTAAATACTGCTGTTGGTCACAAAGGTTAGGTTGAACAGTATCATCAATCAGTAATTTGTATACATGAACTGTGTATCTGTGGTCTGGCCTGGGAACTGAAACACCAATCACAATTTTTTTCTGTGGAAAAAGTTCTTCAAGTTTGAAATAGGCAAAGTATGTACAGCCTTTGGAACACAGCTTCTTCCTAAGTTGGGACATGCCTGAACTAAAGATTTTCATAAATATGAGTTGATAAGCTGTTGCCAATATCAGTTCAATAGTCAGATGGACTTAAAATTACTTCCTGCACATATGCCTTAAAAGTACCTGTATAGGACAAAAATACTTTCCCACCTGGAGCAGTTTTGAATTGCTACAAAACAGAAACCTGCTAGACCTAAATAAAACCTTTGAAACTGAGGTGATATGTCCCTATGAAAATATCACCTTACTACACAAAGCTCAAAAATAAAGGATTAGTTGGGTCTCGTTGAAAAGAAAGGGCACTAGAAGAAAAAAACGTGAACTTCAGTGAGTAGTAAAGCTCTTTCCACGACAGAAAAGAAGGGAGCATGTGAAAGGGCAGGAGGGCCGAATGGCGACAAAGAGCAGTACCTGTGTTGCAAGTGTCCTTCATCAGTCGGCACCGATCTTTGACGGAAGAGGCACTCCTTCCTAGCGCCGCCCCTATTGTTGCCCAGTCATTGCCATGCTTTATCCGGAGCCTAAAACAAGAGTCTGCCAATCAGCATTTGGTTCAACTGTTTCTCCCTTTTAATTTCATCATTTATTCTTCATTCTTCTTCTTCCCATTTGACTGGTTTGGAAGTGGTGGGCAGCAATACTTTGAGAGCCAAAGTTTGAAAGTGTGGCCTTTTTTTGGGGTCCACAGTTGTCTGTGGGTGAAAAAAAACAGGCAGCAATTGCCTTTTTCCTGGGTCAGAGAAGAAATAAGTAACTTGGATATGTGTTCAAAAGACCAAATTTCCCCTTAGGTTACTGACACAATCTCCCAGGCAATCCCCAGATTTTTCCCTTTTGAGTACTCCTAACAAGCTCTTCTCAGACACCTGAAAAATTTCGCAAGTTCTTATTATCATAAACTGGATCAGGTTTTTTTTTTCCTTTCATGATCAACACAATCCGTTAACCCATACTTCATGGTTCCCAAGTTATGTTTCCTACAAAATAGGACTGTATAGTCAGTGAAACATCTGCCAACTCTAAATCATTCTAAACTAAGCCATTAGCACAACCTTGGTGTCGATCCTGGTATGTAAGTCCCCCAAATTTAGTCTTTAGGTTACCAAGAATGGCCATCTAATCTCTTTTGTAACCCCTATTAGTTGTCTAAGGACAATAAAAGAAGACTGAATTTATGGATATGGCTACTCTGTGTAAGTATAGATTTGATAAGGTCTTTATATGGTCAACTTTGCTTAACAGCAGGATTAAGTTATACCAGTCTACCAATAATCTCTTGACATTTTCAAAGTAAAATGGGAAAAAAAGTCAAACTTACTCCTTGAGCTTTTCAATTTCTTCAGGTGTATATCTAGAAATTTAAAGAAATTTTTAAAAGATCAATTAAACAAAGAATGCTAAAAGCCTTAATATAAATCAGAATTTCACTTAGGGAGCCAAATGTTAATCACTTGGCATATTCATAATATTTTTAAAGTAACCAATTTCTAAGTAGATTAATAAAAATTAATGTTTTTTTCCTTAAAAAATATTTTAAGCTATTAATAAAAGTTAGCACTGTAACAATTTTCTCTAGGAAAATTCAACATTTAAAACATATTTTCTTCTATGCTGCCTAACACTTGTGTTATTTCAAGTTATATTCAGGTACTCTAATACCATGGCTATTTTGAAAGATGATGACACGGTAAACTGGAGCTAAAAAGAAAATCTATGGTCAACTCTTACAAGTCACTGAAAAAATTCAAGTTCTCTTTCTCTACCTTCGCATGGACAACTGATATATTCTTGCTCCAAAGTCAAGACTTTTTTTAGTAGCAAGTACTCAACATAACCAATGCAATGTTCTTTTTAAAAGCAGTATCTAATATGCCACACTACTACCATCTACAAGTCCCAAAGAGAAATTTAAAATATGTCAATAACACCATTATTATCATTGCATTGAAGGTATGAAGGCTTCCTTTGTATATTATCTATGACAGAAATCCATGCGTTATATCCAGAAATTTAGTTATTTTCTTTTCTGCTTTTATTAAAAAAAAAAAAAAAGTCACTGACTGCCCTAGGAAATGTTACACTATAAAAATGAATAGGAAAAACATTACCAATGAATTTAAGAGTTTTTTTACATCTCCTAAATCTTTAACTACTTTTATACTTTCTTTAACACTACTTTATACAAAAGCAGATTTTGATGTCTTGATGTTAACTGAACTAAGTCTTATATCAAACCTATATAAGGTATTTCAGATTCTAATTTCTAAAAGAGGCCTTATTGCAATGAGGTTTCACCATATTTACAACATGTACCTGGGGAATAAAAATACTAACACTGCTCACTAGTAATCTGCAACTGTCTCTAATTAGGCTTCGATCATAATTTTAGTTAAAAAATGATAGTTCATTAAATATTTCCCATCTAAGTTACATGAAAACATGCAGTATTACAAGTTTTCATACTTTCCCACATGGTTTCTGTCATCGTACATGCGAAGCACTCTTCTATAAACTGCAAACAAAGGCCGGTTCAGACCCCATGCTATAGTCCTGTAGAAATCTTTTCTTTCGTCTTTTGACATCTCAAAGATGATTTCTGTAGCATCTTTTATTCCGCGTGCCTAAATGGGTACATTTCTTTGATTTAGGGATTTCTGATAAAATGCATATGGGTATACTATGCTCTTTAAAAGATTTTTTAATGTTAAAAGCAATGGCATTTAGAAAAATAATGTATTGCTAATTAAGTCAAATAAGAAATGATACTTAAATATTCCAAAAATAAGTTGTATATAATTCAATAAAGTCCTGCAAACCACTTTTAAAATTATAAAAAATTATATCTAAATAAAGTAGAAAAGGAAGGAGTCTTAAGAACAAAATTAATATAATAAAAAATAGAAAAGATAAGCAATGCTAAAAACTGCTTCTTTGAAAAGTTCCATAAGACTAAATAAAAGACAAAAAGATAAACTTACAACAAACCTTAAAAAAAGAGCCTAGAGATTATATAGTTGAACCTCATGAAAATTTTATGGCAATAAATCTGAAAACTTACATATAATTTACAAATTCCTAGAAAAATTCAACTTACCAACTGACTCAGGAAGAGAAAAATTCTAACAATAAGCACAGACCATGAAGAAAATTTAACCAGTTATTAATAATTTTCCCACAATGAAAACAGTAGGCCAAGATGACTTCACAAGTAAATCCTACCGAACAATTAGGAGAAACATAATTCTGATTTTAAACTATCCTAAATATAAAAAGGGGAATAACTTCCCACTCATTAGACTAGCATCATCTTAAAAGCAAAACCAGGCAAGGAGAGTTTTAGAAAAGATCTTTCAGGTCAAGTTCAGTCATCAAAATACATCACCCAACTCCTCAAAATCTTTTAGCACACTGAACCCAGTAATATATAAAAAGGTTAATACTCAATGCAAACAGTAAGCTTACTCTAGGAATGAGTTTCTATTAGTTTCACAAAAATTAGTAATTAATTACACAAGTAGACTTACAGGGAAAAAAGTAAAATCTCAACATTTATGGAAAGAGCAATCATAAAATCCAACATTCAAAAAGCATAAAGACTGTTATAATCATAAATGGAGTATAACCTTTAAATATTGTAAATCGCTATGTATACCTGAAACATATAATACTGTACACCAACTACACCCCACTTTTACAAAAGCATAAAGATTAGAAGAATTACTTACAGATGTTATACACGTAGAAACCCACAAATCTATGAAAAAATTATTTAAGAGTACTTGCAAGAATGCTGGTTACAAAGTTAACAAAGTCATTTGTATTTCTAGGCAAAGCTGATAAAAATCTTTAAAACTATTCACTAGTAATAGCATCAAAATTAGGACTAAATCTTAGGTAAATTATGCAATTCCTTCATGAAGGAAACATAAAACTATCAAGTGAAATTAAAGAGGAACTAACTAAAACAGAGAGCTATACAATGCTCTTCAGTAGGAAGTCAGAATATTAAAAAGATGTTACTTCCTTTCAAACTGATTCAGATTCAATGTCATGTCTGACTCTCTGTGACCCCATGGACTGAATTCTCCAGGCCAGAATACTGGAGTGCAGAGTAGCCTTTCCCTTCTAAAGCAGATCTTCCCAACTCAGGGATCGAACCCAGGTCTCCTGCATTGCAAGCGGATTCTTTACCAGCTGAATAGCCTATCCCTTCTCCAGTGGATCTTCCGGACCCAGAAATCGAACTGGGATTTCCTGCATTGCAGGCTGATTCTTTACCAACTGAGCTATCAGGGAAGCCCAACTAATACAGAGAGCTACAAAATGTTCTTCAATAGGAAGTCAGAATATTAAAAAGATGTCAATTCCTTTCAAACTGATTCAGATTCAATGTAATCCCAATAAAAATTCCAAGTTTTTCATTCTTTGCAAGCTGAATCTAAATTTATAACGGGAGAGCAAATGGCCAAGAACAGCCAAGACATTGATGAAGTGACCTGCCTCATCAGATAGACACTGAGGCTTCTGAGACAGTGCTGTACTGGTGTAGGTATCAAACAGAACCTAGGAACAAATCAGAAAAGCTAGAAACACATCTTTTTAAGTTTGAGTTAAGACAGAATGGGTATTGTAGACTGGGAAAGGACAGACATTCCCTAATAATGCTGGAACAAGTGTTATCAATACAAAAAGAAAGCAAAAACAACCACAACCCAGTAACACTGAAATGGTATCTCATAACCACAGTAAAAAAAAAAACAATGTGAAAGGCAAAACTATAACATATGAGAGTATCTTTATGCCCCTGAAAGAGAGGAGGATTTCTTAAACACACAGAAACACAACAATAAAAAGATGATAGATAATTTTGACACTGAAATTAAGAATTTTTTTTCATCAAATGATACTAGAGAGAATGAAAAGACGAGCCACTAACTTGGGACAAGATATCTGATCTGTAACGTAACCGAAAAAGCATTAGTATCCAGCATAAAATAAGAACATCAAGAAAATTATAATGAACAACCCCATAGAAAAAACTGATAAAAGACACAAACAACAATTTCAAAGAGGAAATACAAATGGCCAACAAGCATATAACAACACATAATCAGATATACACAAATTAAACCCATAATAAATACCTTTTACACCCACCAGAATTAAACAAATTAACAGCAAAAAACTAAAAGGAACCCAAATGACCATTAACTGTGGAATGGATAACTTATATATTCACATGATGAAACACAGGTTTCAATTAAAAAAAACCCAATAGGGGATGAATCTCAAAATCACAATATTGAAGAAAAGAAGCCAGTTACAGAATACCCAGAGAATAAACCTACTTATGTAAATTTTAAAACAGGTAAAATTCAACTGACACATTATTATATACACTCTTTTGACTGTATTAAACTTTACAGTAAAAAGTTTCTAAATTTTAGAATCCTTTTCAAAATTCTTTTATGCAATTTCAAGTCTGGAAACAATTAAACCTAAATATTTACAAGTACCTAGATGTAAGGGACTGTGTTGCAGGACGGTAGTACAGTGAGATGAAAAGACTTTTGTTTTTCTTGGTTCCTTGTGACAGTATCTTATATTTTTACCCCAAACATGGAATATATGACATGTAATTAATTGCTTAAAAAACAGCTCCATAATGTTCTTGCAAGAGTACCACATAATAAAAAATCACAGTCAAAAATAAAAATCAAATAAATTATCTCTTCCCAAGATCAGTGTATCTTTTTTGGACATTTCTTACTTCTGACAATTCCATCATCATTCTAACCATCCTCAATTAAAAAAAAAAAACTCTTAAATTATTTCATTTCCTCACTTTCCTTCTTAGCCAGTATTTAGTCACCAGGCTTCCTCAGAAGACTACTTGCTTATCTGTCTTTTATCTGCTAATTCTATTTCAACTGCTGCTGCTAAGCCGCTTCAGTCGTGTCCGACTCTGTGCGACCCACAGTCCACTAGGCTCCTCTGTCCCTGGGCTTCTCCAGGCAAGAATACTGGAGGGGGTTGCCATTTCCTTTTCCAACTATTTCAACTGCGTAATTTAAAGTCCTTACTACTCACAACCTGGTCAAATGAAATGGTCATCTAAAAGGTCTTAATCATAAAGCTGCCCTTTAACCATCAAGTTGGAAGAGTCCTTGGAAATCATCTACTCTAATTTCTTACATAAGAAATCAGCTTCTTAATTTCCCGAATTCAGTGGTTTTTTTCTTTTTTTTTACCAACTGGTTACTAAACCTGTAGCATTTCCCCAATTTTAACTAAAATGTGTGTGGTTAGTGGACAACTTTTAATACACTTTTGGATATATTTCAATAGTCACTGAATTTCTGTTTCTCTTAAAACAATTAGCTTGGTGGGAAGGATCTTCCTTCCCTAATAAAGAAGTAAAGTTTTTTCTTTTTATAAAGTGTAGTTTGGGAGGAGTGTAGCTTAAAATTAAGCTTAAGAATGTGGACATACTAGGCAGCAATGTATTGAAAATAGTGAAAAATTATATGTAAACTATTAAAAATAGGAGAATTAAACTTCAAAGCTCAAGTTCTAGCAGCCAATTATCTTGGTTCAGGTTAAAGGGGTTATGTTAATATACTCTGGGTTTGAACTCTGAATCAACACACATCATTAACTCATAATGTTCCCTCCAGCCCTCAGTTCAGTTCAGTCATTCAGTTGTGTCTGAGTCTTTGTGACCCCAGGGACTGCAGCATGCCAGGCCTCCCTGTCCATCACCAACTCCGGGAGTTTACTCAAACTTATGTCTATCGGGTCGGTGATGCCATCCAACCATCTCATCCTCTGTCGTCCCCTTCTCCTCCTACCCTCAATCTTTCCCACCATCAGCGTCTTTTCCAATGATTCAGCTCTTCACATCAGGTGGCCAAAGTAGCTTCAGCTTCAACATCAATCCTTCCAATGAATACTCAGGACTGATTTCCTTTAGGATTGACTGGTTTGATCTCCTTGCAGTCCAAGGGGCTCTCAAAAGTTTTCTCCAACACCACAGTTCAAAAGCATCAATTCTTTGGCACTTAGCTTTCTTTTTAGTCCAACTCTCACATCCATACATGACTACTGGAAAAACCATAGCCTTGACTAGACGGACCTTTGTTGGCAAAGTAATGTGTCTGCTTTTTAATATGCTGTCTAGGTTGGCCATAACTTTCCTTCCAAGGAGTAAGTGTCTTTTTTTTTTTTCCCATTTAGTTGGAGGCTAATTACTTTACATCATTACNTTAGTTTTCTGAATGTTGAGTTTTAAGCCAACTTTTTCACTCTCCTCTTTCACTTTCATCAAGAGGCTCTTTAGTTCTTCTTCGCTTTCTGCTGTAAGGGTGGTGTCATCTGCATATCTGAGGTTATTGATATTTCTCCCGGCAATCTTGATTCCAGCTTGTGCTTCATCCAGCCCAGCATTTCTCATGATGTACTCTGCCCTACTGTATCCCTAAGTCTCACCCCTTTCTTTGAAACTCAGCTCAAATCCTTACTCTTGTAAATATTTTCTGTACCTGTCCTAACCCTGAGAGTAAACTCTTCCTTCTGCTCTCATGCAGAATTCCCAACATGTTATCCAATATGCAAACAAAGCCTTCTATCATTCTTCACATGTTTTCAGAATTACCACACATGGACTGTTGGCATTTGAAAGGCTAACACTATGTATTAAAGCAATTTCTATCTCCAGTGCTTTAAAAATTGTTTTCATCAGTCATCTAATGAAGAGGATGACTAAGCCTGAATATGAAAATGAACTAATTTTTTTTAAGGGAAAGGACTAGTGAGATGTCATAAATTCAAAGAAGACACATGTCTTAGGCTTTACATAGCATAAATTTAAATTCTAATTTATAGGCTGCTTGAAAAGATAGAGCTTTAAGATTCTGAGAGGCTATTAAAATTCTGTCTTAACTTTGGGCTGTTACCTAAAGCAATAAAGCTGTTTTAAACTGAGAATTCAAAATGTGTAAATATACTATAATACAACTGAAATTATTAAGCTACAACATGTTAGCCAATTATTGATTACATAATTACTTAAAAGTGCTACTTTGGTATTTTTGCAACTGGCAATCAAAAAATTAGTGAAACAAAAAAAATTTGCCATAAGATACCTTCAAATAGCGTTCAATATTGTTCATCAAAATATCAATTTCTTCCTTGGACCACATCCCCTGCTTCCATTTATGTCCTTTAAAAGAAAACAAGTAATGCTATTGATAATGTTATTCTTTGAGAGGAAAGAATGTAGCTAATTTAATGTCTTATTCATCTGAAATCTGAAAAATCCCTAGGCAAAGTTGCTTCTGTGACCTCTGGTTTTTAAGAAAGAATACAAGTGACCCTAGTAAACAGGGGTAATTTACGTAAAAGAATCATAAAAAATACTTCCTCTTAATTACATCTCTTACCCTTTCAGCAGGACAGGACTTATAAAAAGTGTAAAAGCCAAATCACACTCAAAACTTTTTGATAAATTTCTGCAGTGAAAAATGTTTTATGGGAAAAAAATACATATAAAAGATTCTAGGACAAGGTAAACATAACATATTGGAATATCAAGTGAGTAATTAATTCTTAATGAGAGGTTACTGTACAGGGGTTGAAAACAATCTATTTACATATTTCTTGTTTCCTTTCCTTACTTCAGAGTGGCATATACACAACCCTCACTTTCTTGAAGTAGCTTCCTAGCAATGCTTACAAGCGAGGTAGCACTATAAACACTTACTTTAAACCTCTAAGCAACTTATCAGATCAAAGTTAGTAGAACTTTGAAAAGGTTTGACTTTCTTCTCCCATAAGCAATAACTGTATTCACTTAAATGGTTAACACTGTGCATTTGTTTATAACCTACTTCATATGGGACAAGTGATCAATTATTGTAAAATGAATATTGGTTCCCCAGTCCCATTCAGAGCCAAATTTAATTCGATTAGGTTCAAATTACTGTAACTATTTAACCATAATTATGAAGGCCCAAATTAGGATCCTTATGACTACAAGCTCTTTTTGACACTCACTTTTGCCACTGGTCACTGAAATTCAGTGTATCTTACCTTTGTTAGTTAGAGAATCCTTATCTTCTTTAGTTGTAAACCATGCTTGGCTAACTGCTGAAACCTCCTCATTACCCAAGGGAGATATTTCATCTAGTTGTTCATTCTGTAGAATCTTGAAAAGGCAAAAAAACAAAAAACAAAAAACACCAAAACAGTGGCAGCTTGATTTAACACCCAACCTGATTCACCTGTGTAATGCTAAGCATTATAAAACTCTGCTGTATCTAAAACAAATGAATTTCTAGTAACATGAAATTAATTTTAGATATAATAAAACTACACTGAATTCATAGAAAGACAAATATTTTCTTGCTTTTAAGACAGCATGAAAACAAAATTATCTTCAACAAGAAAAAAAGCCATTTGTATATCTATATGTATAAAACATGGAGATGGAAATGGCAACCCACTCCAGTATTCTTGCTTGGAGAATCCCACCGGCAGAGGAACATATAGTCCATGGGGTCGCAAGAGTCGGACATGACTTAGCAACTCAACTACTACTGCTACTACTATGTATAAGACAAGCTCATATATAAAATAAGATGGAAATGCTGGGTCGAGTGTCATGATATTCATGTTCTCATAGGTAGTTTGCTGCCTAAATATACGGTCATCTGTAATGTAACCTGTTGATCAATCTAAAAGATTAACAGGCTATTTCAAAAGATGTTATTGCAAAACTGTAGTCTGCATATTGTTTACTGACAACTTTTACATTTAGGAGGGTAGGTATTTAGAGCTGATACCTACCCTCCTAAAGGCATCTTCTTTTCAAAGAACCATATGGTACTAATTTTTTTATTATTGCAATAAAATAGCCTGTATTGAGAAATATAGTTAAATAAGCTTTACTAAGATATGTCACATATCATAAAATTCACCCTTTAAAGTATACAATTCAGTGGCTTTCAGTGTATTTATGCAGCTATCAGCAATTAGGAAATATCTAGAAAATTCTGCAGGAACAAAGCTGTTTTTAAGAGATTTGGCTGTGGGCTAGAGAGAGCTATGGTATAAGTGAGGAAGATATGGCAACAGTGCCATACCATATCAGGTATGATGAGCCTGTTATATGCAGACCAGGAGAAGAGGAGAGTCATAGGCCTAGTGACCACTCAACCTAGCTGGCCTGGATCAACTACTAAGCTGCGTCACTTTCTGGAGGTAGGTCATAACAAAGATTGACTGTTTCTTGAGTAGGCAGAAACTGGATCTCTATTTTCAAGAAGATATGAAAACATCTCACTTCAAAAAGAGAAGCTGTCCATGAAGAACCAAGGCACAGTGAGGAGAAAAGCCATGCCTATTGTTACCTACTATTTTTATACCTAGTGGTAATATTTTGTATTTATTAATGTGTTTAAAAAAAAATGGGCAAAAGCTAGAAATCACTAGAACAAGAAAAGTTTTATAACCCAGCATTTATGTGTCATATACAAAAAAGTCATATAGATTTTTTCTTTTAAAGGTTAAGAGGATCTTATAAAGCTGAGAACTTAAACAGACTAGTCAGACAATATCCAAGGCCTCTTACATTCTGAGGATCACAATTCTGTAAGATTTGATATAGGAGTTATGTATCAAGGACAATACGGAGAGCTATCAAAAGATCTTGATACATACTATACTTTTAAGAAATGCAGAAAAGTCTCCTGAGATGACTTTCTCCTACGTTAACAGGTTTGTTGAAAGAATAAAATCACCATTTCCCAAAGTGAGTCTAAATATATAGCAAAGCCCACTCTATGAATCTCAGGAATAAACCTTTCATGATTAATTACTATCTTTGGGTAAACACTTAATGCCTTATGGTGCAAAATTTCCTGATGAAGATTTACATTACTTAAACCATGTAATTTAAACATGATGAAAATCATCAAATGAAGTAAATAATTACTAAATTCTAGCAGTTTCAACACTGTCAATCAAAGTGAGTGTATTAGGAGACTTAGTACCTAAGAGGCTATCTATCTATATTTAGTATACAGATAGTGATTAAGTTTTTTGGTATTTTACCCCTGTTTTTCACTACTTTAGAACTTTCCAGGTGGCTCTAGTGGTAAAGAACTTGCCTGCCAATGCAGGAGACATGAGACCTGGGTTTGATCCCTGGGTTGGAAGATCCCTAGGAGTAAGAGGGCATGGCAACCTACTCCAGTATTCTTGCCTGGAGAAGGACAGGGGAGCCTGGCTGGCTATAGTGTATAGTGTTGCAAAGAGTTGGTCATAGCTGAAGCAACTTAGTACCAGACACTTTCCTACTTTATATATAAATCTTTTCAAGTTACTCAGGCTTTGTTTAACTTACTGTTGCTTTTTCTAAATGAAGTCTTTGTGAATTGGTTGTTGGGTTTCTTATTTATCATATATACAGGTTTAGAAATCTGAAAATAAATATTTCACTCCCTAAATATCTCTTTCAACCACAATGTACTACATACACGGGAAGTTAATTTAGTTCCTAATTGTTTTTCAACCTAGTCTCACCACTGGAATGGGATAAGGGGCACTAGCTACTAAACTAGGTGAAATAACTACACCTAGTTTGACACAAAGGGCACAGCAAAAATCACACTATTTCTGAACTTTAAACTGTGCTGACTTTCACTCCCAATCTAATGTTAATCTCATTTAAAAAAACATTAGAAATTTAATATTAAAAGTTTTTCACTCACTAAAATGGTAATAACAAACCAAGAGGTTAGTATTAGATTGTAACTCATTAACTCTTTGGAAATAATCCAAACAAAACAACCCTAAAACTTGTGTACATTGCCACTGATCAATCTGATAGTAACTAGGTTGTAAACCAAATCAGACATATGTATATAGTTATTTTCAACATGCTAAAAATGGAAGTGAGCCTACATTACAAATGAAATGAATGACAAGAACTGTTGTAAAAGTTCTTATTTCTTTTTGGCTCTCTAGTTAGTTAACTGGCTTCTTACTGCAGTGGCTTCTCCTGCCCCAGAGCAGGGCTCTAGGCTGTGAAGCTTCAGCGGTTGTGGCTCCCGGGCCCGGAGCACAGGCTCAGCAGTTGTGGTGCAGTGGCTTCTCTGCCCCCCTGCATGCGGGGTCTTCCTGGACCAGTGATCGAATCCATGTTTACGCCACTGGCAGGTGGATTCTTAAGCACTGGGCCACCAGGGAAGTCCTGCAAGATCCATTCTGAAGAAAGAATGTGCCCTATTGTTTCTCAGGATTTAGAAAAAATTTCTGTTCAAATTCCCCAGCCTGCCTCAAAGATGTCTGAAACATATTAGAGACTTGCTTCTCTGGAAATCCTGTCATTCTGGGACTGCTCTGAAGCTCACAAGCTCCTCACTGTAATTCACAGTACACCCTTCTGAAACGTCCTTAGTCCATGACATGTATCAACTTGAACCTACTTCGTAATGAAGAAGGGTCATTATGACGCTTTGCTTAAGAAAATAATGGTACAATGACTCTACTGTCTGCTAAAAAGTATTTTATTAAATGAAGAGACAGAGCAAAAAAACAATCAGCCAGAAATAAACTTACAAGTAAAATAGATTTAAGCTGCTGGCCACTGAAGAGAGCTAAGAATGATGATTGCTTTTGGCAGAAATAACACGAAACAATTAAAGAAGTTCATATAGGAAAACAGGCTAATTATTTAACCTCAACACATGGTAAAATCTATCTAGTTGTACAGGTTATCAAAAGCAACTATGACTACCACTGTTATAGTTAAAATGTATTTGAGATGACCAGCTTTCATTCACATTAGGGCAGAGAACACATGGAACCTTTCTAAATCACTCACTACAGATAACTGCTGGGTAAAGCTTATTTTAAAAAGTTTTATATCCCAATCAGTATCTCATATAACTGGTAGATAAGATTTAAAGTTACTTAACAGCTCAAAAGAGGTCACTCTAGGGAGATAGAGAATGCACATGCATTATCTAGTTCAACAGATGTGAACCACTCCACAACGTATGAGCTTTAAAATTCTATCATTGTTTACAATTCTGAGACTCATGTGGGGACTGGCAACCTGGATGAATAATAAGTCTTACTTCCATTCTGTGATTGCTACTTTTTCAGACTCAGGGCTTCTCAGGTGGAGCTAGAGGAAAAGAAGCCACCAGACGATGCAGGAGGTATAAGAGACTGGTTCAATCCCTGGGTCGGCAAGATCCTCTGGAGGAGGGCATAGCAACCCACTCCAGTATTCTTGCCTGGAGAAGCCCATGGACAGAAAGCCTGGCAGGCTACAGTCTATGGAGTTGCAGAGTCAGATGTGAATGAAGAGACGGAGCACTCACACATGTTGTCGGACAGAATCTCATCTCATCATTTGATCAGCTAAGGTTATGTATGAAGGATAATGTTCTTACAGCCATACAAAGACTTACTATACCTGGATCTGTGTCACAGTTCCCTCAGCAATCTCATCATCTGCCACCTCTGTGGTTGCAGTCATGGTCACCTCAAAGCTCTGATCATTTTCTGAAACTTCAAGAAAAAGAACAGTTCATCTCCAGACTAATAAAAGCAGGTCCTAATTATTAAAAAATATATCCAAAGAATTAGGATGTGATCATCTAATTTCTTAACATATTCCTCGCCAATACACCCATACACCTAAGTGTGTATGATATGCATACAGATATACTTGCTTAACGAGTATCTACTGTGCACCAACGGAGAAGGCAATGGCACCCCACTCCATTACTCGTGCCTGGAAAACCGCACGGACGGAGGAGCCCGGTGGGCTGCAGTCCATGGGGTCTCGAAGGGTCGGACAGGACTGAGCGACTTCACTTTCACTTTTCACTTTCCTGCACTGGAGAAGGCAATGGCAGCCCACTCCAGTACTCGTGCCTGGAAAACCCCATGGACGGAGGAGCCTGGTGGGCTGCAGTCCACGGCGTCGCTAAGAGTTGGACATGACTGAGCGACTTCACTTTCACTTTTCACTTTCATGCATTGGAGAAGGAAATGGCAGCCCACTCCAGCGTTCTTGCCTGGAGAATCCCAGGGACGGGGAGCCTGTTGGGCTGCCATCTATGGGGTCGCACAGAGTCGGATACGACTGAAGTGACTTAGCAGCAGCAGCGCACTTATACATGCAAGGTACTGTTCTGGGCAACGGAGAGACAACAATAAACAACCCCACCACCCCCCCCCCCCAAATTCTGCCTTCAAGGCACTTAGAGAGTCTAGGGGGAAGACAAAATTAACACAACATTATGTTGGAAAAGTGTTAAGGAGAAAAAAATGAAGTATGGGAAATGTGTTGGGAGTGGGGTCAAGTGTTTGAAATTTTAAATAGGATGCCAGGAAAAGTAACCAGGATTTGGAACAAATCGAGGAAAAGGGCTAGTCATGAAGGTATCTTGAGAGATAGCACTTAAGGCAGATGGAAAGCCAAGTGCAAAAACATTCTGAGCACCTGCCCAGATTGTTCACAGAAACTGCAAGGACAGTTTGCACAGTTAGACCAAACAAGATATCGTGTAGGATTTGAAGGCCACTGTAAATGAAGACTTTGGCTTTAATTCTCTTCCACTGAGGTGACCATTGTAAGATTTAGAGCAGAGGAGTGATAAAAACTGAGTTTTATTTTAACAGGATCACCCTGGCTGCTAAGGGGAAAATAGCCTGAAGGACAGCCCTAGCTGGAAGGAGATCAGTGAAGAAGCTAATTCAATAATCTATTACTAGGTAAAAGGTGTGACTTGGACTAGAGTGAAGGCAAGTGAGGGTGATAAGTAGTTCAAATTGTGGATATATTTTGATGGTAGAGCCAACAGGACATGCAGACAAACCAAATAAGAAAGAAAGTAAAAAGTCAAGAATGGAATTGAAAAAGTTTTTAACCTGATCTACTGGAAGAATGTACCTACCAATAATAAAATGGGGAGAAGAGCTTAGAAAGAAGCAAGTTTAAAAATGTAGGTCAGTTTTAAACATGCTAGATGTTTAAACCCAAACACCTGGAGTTAAGAGAGGTATGGACTGGAGTAACTCGGGGGATTTAAAAGCATGAATTCTAGGGAGTAAAAACAGAAAAAAGCAATTAAGACTGAATCCTGGGTACTACTGAGATGTGGACATGTCAGCATAAGAGACTAAGAAGAAATGAACAGAGGGAAAACTAGAAAAATGCATTCCGTGGAAGCCAAGTGACAACAAGTCTGAGAGAGGAGTGATTAAAAATGTGGGGAGATCAAGTAAGACAAAGACTAAAAAAAAAATCACTACTGAATTTAGCAACAAGAAAGTCTTTGGAAAAAAACTTAAAAAAAGAAAAAAAGAAGAAAAAAGAAAGTCTTTGGAGACAACATTTATAGTATAGCATTAAAAGCTGAGAGACTGATTGGAGTGGGCTTATGGAACAAAGGAATTAGAAATGAAGGCAAGTGTAGGTAATTCTTTCAAGGTACTTCTGTTCTAAAGGGAAGTAGAGAAACTGAATGGGAGCCCAAAGTGAGCTAACAGGACTTTTTAAAGAAAAAACTATCGTATTTTTGTAATGCTGATGGGAATGATCCAGAAGACAAAGAAAAAACTGTTGATTCAGAAGAGAAAAGAGAGAATTCCTGCAACTATGTCCTTACATGGCAAAAGGGATAGGATCTGGTATATTGAAGGGTTGGCCTTGGATGGGTGAAAAGACAAGAATACATGGACATAGATACAAGTGGGTTTGTAGATACATTTGTAGTAGTGGAAACTTACAGAAACTATTTTCTGGCCACTTAAACTTCTCAGTAAAGTAGGAAGCAACGCTATCAGTTGAGAGTTAAAAATGTGGAAGAAGTATTGGAGGTTTCAGAATGCATGAAACAGTCATCTTACAGTGGGAGAAAGAACACCAGATAAGTATGGTATGACTGGGAGGCAACATAAAGAACCCGTTTAATGATCATAAATTTAAAATGAGAGCAGTCACCTTACTTGTGCTTTTTTTCTCCAATCCTTTTCAATTAACTATACTGGTATAGTCATAAATAGGCAGACAAACTGACCCAGGGTTGTGGTTTCGTCAAAGAAAGGTGAGGTGTAGAGAGGGAGGTGGGAGGTGGGATCGGGATGGGGAATACATGTAAATCCATGGCTGATTCATGTCAATGTATGACAAAAGCCACTACAATATTGTAAAGTAATTAGCCTCCAACTAATAAAAATAAATGAATAAAGAAGAAGCTAACAGAATGATATTGATTCAATAAACAGCATTAAATAAGTAAAAAAAAAAAAAGAAAGGTGAGGGGAAGAAAAAAGGATCTCAGGGTAAATGCAAGACAGAGATTATAATGATTTACCATAAAAACTGAAACTCGGTAAGAAGGAAACAAGAAAACAAGTAAAGAAGAAATAACTGAAAAGTGCTAAAGTCAACGGGTCCCACTGGGGCAAAGGACTGCAGAAGTATCAGAGAAAGTAAACCACAAAGATAGGAATTAGTGGCAGGAAAACAAAGTCTGAAGTAGGATACAAACAGACTCCAGTAATATATACAATAGCAAGAGTGGTATGGGAATGACAAATAATGCAGCATGAAGAACAAAAGGAATCAGAGGCAAAGTAACTCCAATGATCATCTAAATGAATAATCACAAGAGCTTTATTTTTAAATAATTTTATTTATTTATGTATGGCTGAGATGGGACTTCATTGCTGCTCGGGGCTTTTCTCTAGTTGTGGTGTGCAGGCTTCTTACTGCAGTGGTTTCTCCTGTTGGGGAGCACAGACTCTAGGGCACACGGGCTTTAGCAGTTGGTGGCAAGTGGCTTCAGTAGTTTGGCGCACAGGCTTAGTTGCTCCATGGTATGTGGGATCTTCCCGGACCAAGGATCAAGCCCGTGTCTCCTGCATTGGCAGGCAGATTACCACTGAGTCACCAGGGAAACTCCACCAACAGTTTTAATGATGAATAGGTAATGGAGTGAATGTGTGCAAATGACTGCAAAAAGTAGCAAGTGATCTACACTGATTAACACGAGAGTTAAGAGAACTTTTAAGGCTCAGACAGATAAATGTTACTCAGTTTTATAAAGCATCTGAAGAAAACCTCAATATTAAAGTTAAAACTTTAAAATTAATATTCATCTTCATGAAGTCCAGCATAAATGACTTGCCCATTTAATTGGTACCACATGGTGATGGATATAGGACTTCATGCTTTTGGGGACTTTTTTAAATGTAAAAACTTTCCTAAATTGATTTTATCAACATAGTTCTTACTAGTCCAGGGAACTTAAAGCCACTCCTCATAAATTCAGTCTTACTGTAAATTAGGTTCCAGACTCTCTACACAGTGATGCTATGACCCAACATCAAACAGCTCATGGACTTTCATGTCAACACATCCATATTATCTTATCCAGGTAAGTGAGTGTGTGAAGGATTTAGTCTTACTCCATGAAATAGAACAAAATATCCAGTGTAGATCAAGCCTACAATCACATTCAAGGCACTCTAACCAAATCAATTAACAGGTCAAAATTTACATCAAGATAATCATGCAAAAATTCTGACTTAATTAATATTTTTATTTTATATCTTGGGGATATAATGTTCAGCATGGTGACTACAGTTAATACTATCCTTTTCTGCTCAGTTTAACAAGCAAATAACTCCAAATACAAAGTACACATCTGCTTGTGAAGACATGATTTTCGACAACGAAAAACCAGCCTCAGTTCTCTTCCACTGGAAGCTCTTGGATATGGCAATGCCCTCCTCTCTGCAGAGTGCATCACCAATAGCCCTGGGCCCAAATCCCATTGTTGGGGGCTGAGGTGTCTATTCCAGCCTTGGAGGGCCACCGTGGTTCAACAGATTCCATATTCTTTGCTAAACAAATGAGAAATATAATCTAACATTACAGTTGGTGTGCTGTAGTCTTTCACCAACAGTATTTCATCCAAAATACTACACCTGCTTAGAATCCAGTGTATTCTAAATGATCTTAGTGAGAATAAACTTATCAGGCTTCTACTTTCCATTTAGCCATATAACACATAAAAAGAACATAAACTAAAAGAACCAGAATGCCTGGGTAAGACATTAGACAAGTTATTAACCTCTCAGTACCTTAGTTTTCTTATTTGTAACGTAAGGATAAAAATACCTACTCTAGAGAGTGCCTTCTCAATGAGGGTGAATATGCTTCTTAGGAGAGGAGGTGAAAAAATCTTACTCTCTTTATTAAGAAAGCAAGGACATACATACATACACACAGTACATTAAAAACAAAATAACAATGATACTGAAATTATAATTTCATGTGGGAGAGCATCACTATGAAGAAAATGTCTAAAAAGACTCTCAGATGGGGGGTCAATTAAAATAAAAGGTTGATAGAGTAAACTCAGCAATATGCAGAAGTATGTAGAGCCATGCCTGGCACATAAATAAGCACTCATTAAGAGCTGATTAAAGGTTTTTTGACTAAATGAGGAGAAAAATAATGGGTCCAACTGATGGGTTAAACTGAAATGCCAGTTTAATCTCCTGCAATGTGAATTTTGATTCAGAAGGGAAGCTCTAGGTTAATACAGTGACTTACGTGGAAGTGCAACAACAGATATGCAAGGAGTAGAATCATCAATACTTTGATCATCCTCAGAAGACAGGCAAAGCCTTTTATGTGGAGGTTCAGTACTATCTTCTGAGTCTATTTCATCAGCTTCTAATGAAATAAGACAAGAACAAAAAATCTCAGAAATCTTCAAATAAAAAAGGAGGAAACAAAATCTTCCACAAGTAATGAATGTAAAATAATCTTATTAATTTGCTAAGTCAGAAAAAGATAGCTGTGCAATAAGACTCACTGCCTTTAACATGCCTACCTCAGCTCCACTTCTTACGACAAGGAACCAGGAACCTTGGTCCTGGTGGTCCTTTTTAAAACATCACACTTCAGTGCTGTGATTACCTGGCTTTCAAGATATTTCACATGTAAAGATAAAGATTGGTTATTTAATTACTCACAGATATTTACTGAATGCCTACCAACAGCTAAGTTCGAGAAACAGAAAAATGAGAGACACCCTGACTGTCAAGGAGCTCACAGTACAGTGGAGATGACTATAATTTCTAAAGTTTAATAAGAACGATGAAGGTGGAATGAAGAGGCTGTTATATGAGAAGAGAAGCATTTAATTTAGACTGGAGGTGAAGGGAGGTTTCTAGAAAAGGTGTCTTGAATTTCAAAAACAAACAGAAGCCAGGGGAAAATGATTATCACTGTCAGTAGGAATAATACGTGGAGTGATACTGAGGTATGAAAAGCTTATGATAAGTTAGGAAAATAATAACAGTTGTGAACTGCTGGAACACAGATATATGAAATGTGGCAGGAAACGAAGCTGGAAAGAAAGCTGAGATGGTGGGAGGCCTATGTGCCAAATTAAAGAAACTGAATTATATTCTAAAAATCCTGGGAAGCTTATTTAAAAAAAAAAAGCTTTTGTGTACTACTGAATCATGACCACCATCATCAGCAGTTTGAAGGATAAATTAGAGGTGAGAGATCGGCTAAAAGGCTACTCATGTGGGAAATGAGAACCTGAACAAAGGAAAGGGGACCTGAGACATAGTTTGAGACATGTGAAATTTAAGGTGCCTATGAGAAACAGAATTGAGAACAAAGAGAGGTTTAAATCATTGTAGTAGCTATGCAGAAATTAAAACCACAAATTTGAATGAAATAACATAGGGATTAAGTACAAAGTGAAAAAAGAACACAGAACCTAGGTTGAACAAGGATAAACTTATAAAGCAAAATAAATATAAATACGGAACAGGTAGAGAAATAACAAAACCACAAGCCTCAAGTCAACTGAATCTTAGTTCATTACAAATGATATTAAGTCCTATTCAAACAGTCATGTAAAATTCTCTAACACAGGTTCTAGAGAAAAACAATTCTTCTGTGTTTATTGGCAGGATTATGTCTACATTTTCTAATATACTGTATATACTGCTGGTATCAAATGGTGTCAAAGAAGAAGTGTATTTATAGTTAATCCATCATCATTAGAAACTCAACAAATTCTACTTATAAAATAACTACAAGATTCATAAAGATAGAAATTTATGGTAAATTCAAAAAATATACAAAGTATATTTCAAAAATATAAATGTGAATTAAGGTTATCTAAGAAATAACCTCCTTTTCTACTATTCTAGACTAAACTGAGTAATAAGGTTTAAAGGTGACATGAAATCCAGAAATCCAAAAAGATTTATAATTATATGTCAGCAGGTTCTCCTACCATTATGAGGGCAATGAAGAATGAGGTTCCCGTCTGTGTCCCGAGTCAAAGTCACAGAGTCCACAGTTTCTACTGTCACTGTGTCAGAATCCTCTTCAACTGTGCTCATACTCAAATCTGTAAAAGAACAGGTTTCAGATTAGGGTTTAAAAAATCATTTCCAAATATGAACATAAAGTAGCCCTCTCCAAATATATCCGCCTACAGTATTCTTTGTGTGAAACTGCAATGATGGTTCAAGTTTCAAAACTTTGTTTTTCCAAAGTTTATACCAATTACTTAGAATTAGTTAGAATAATCTTCAACAATCTAAATGCAATGATCAATTAAAAACTTAAAGCATTTACTTTTTAAAAAAAGTTATTTTTATAACATCCAATGAAAGACAGTCTATTCCAAGTTGTCTGACATATGAGCAAAAACTCTCACCACTTTTTTAAATTGGCAGCTCTGTGATATACTCAGGTGTTTAACTTTCGATTCTTTAGCAGAAGATCCATCACAACTTTTCTCTTAATCTAAGAATTATTTCTCTAAAACATTTTTTTACAAGTATTTAAGCTTATTACTATCTGAAAAATATGAACACTAAATAATTCTGTTACTTTTTAAATAATACTGAATAGTACATATATCTATCATTGACCAAACTGTTTTCCTAATAGACATGGAGCTAGGCCTTCTTTTGAAATAGAGAACTGAGTCTTCACCTATTATTTTACACTTAAATTGTTTTTTTTTTGTTTAGACAAACTGAATGATCAGTACTTTAATTGCAGCCATGTCATGGCTGACAGGCGGAAATGCACTGAATTGTAATCAGCGACCTGAACTGAAGTCGTTGGGCTTACCTTGTAATGTTCAATGAAGTTCTTGTCTCAACACTCAATTTTGGTCTGGTCCACATAGTCTAGTCTAGTAGTCTATTATTAGTCGCTCAGTCGTGTCTGACTCTTTGCGACCCCATGGACTGTAGCCCGCCAGGCTCCTCTGTCCATGGAATTCTCCAGGCAAGAAAACTGGAGTGGGTTGCCATTCCCTTCTCCAGGAGATCTTCCCGACTCAGGGATCGATCCCTGGTCTCCCGCATTGCAGGCAGATTCTTTACCGGCTGAGCCATCTGGGAAGCCTCCAAGTAAATAATACAGAGGACATAAGCCTTGATGTGTTTCAAATTAATCATTCAATATTTATTTGGTTCCTATATGTAAGATATTAGTCTATACATATAATTGCCATTTACACAAATGCATTTTTCCTTGGCAGAAAAACTTAAGAACTACTAACATTTACATGGTGAAGATCTAGTGATTTATCCAAGTTTTACTATACAAACTACTGTTTTAGAAGGACATCATTCATTTTACAATGTCAAAGATGTCATTTCCAAATTAAAGATAAATGGAGACCATGATTTAGTTATGATGAAAATTTGCAAATCATGAGGTGAGGTACCCAGAACAAAGGAATGCTTACCTAGAAAACAGATGGATCAGCTATAGCCCTTCCCACAGAATCCAGATGCCGTCCCTGAGCCACCAGCATCACTTTCATGTTATCCAGATTGTTTCTCCCCCATGTTCCTACCTCTGCAACACTCTGAAAAAGTAATAGCATTACACAATAACACTTATTGAGAACAAACAACTGTCTGCTAGCAGTATGCTGATGACAATTTAGCTTCTGGCCTCTGTGATGTGTCAAGTAGAAGAGGAAGGACCAACCCAGAATTCTTTAAGCAGTGCTTTTGAAAATCAGCCACTAAAACTATTCTCCAATGAAGAACAGAAATGATAGGATCCTATGCCTACTAAGTCAGTTTACACGTGGTTTCTCAACGTAAGTTGTCCCTCATTAGGCAGTCAAGCTTTCTTGGAAAAAAAACAAGTTGAACTATACCAGTGGTTCTATGAACTGTAGACATGGGTACATGTAACTGGATCCAGGGAGTACACTAACCACCAGTACCACAAGTATTACCAATAACTGTTATTTTTTTCTTTGTAATAATTAGCACCTCTCTTTATATGTAGTACTATATTTCATCTTAAAGTATTAAAAACCATACACTATCTGTTAACTCTGCCTAGGGATTTGTGGGGAAAAGAAATCCTAAACAATCAGGCCAGAAAATGTACATTATAAACAAACTTTTCAATGTAATGTGAAATTTACAAAATTTGAATTGACTTGACTTTAAAGGATTTTTTAATAGGATTCTCATTTTCATCCCAAAGGATCAACCAAAAATTAAAAAGTATAATAAGATTTTAGGTTTAAGGGGATGCAAAACCAATAATTAAATTCCTCATTTTTGCAGTATTTTAATTAGAACTCCTCTCCAGGATGGGTATCTTTAAGAACTGCTATACATAAACGAGTCTGCAGTGCGACAGGTACAGATTCTGCTAGAGAAACATCCAGTCAGTTAATAGATTTCGTGTTGTTCTCATTTCTGAATCCATTAAAAACTTCTTAAAAGCTGGTTTGTACCTACTCCAGAAGACGAAAAATGAAATGTTAAAGAAAGTTTAAATCATCCATAAACTTTCCAAAATTATAATTCACTCTCAACATGTTTATGAGACTATACCATAGAAGCACTTTTATATCCTGCACTGAAAACTGTGAAGGAAGCCAAGCTAGATATTTAACTGAGGTTTTTCTGTACTCTTTAAAAAGTTATTATATCAAAGAATAACAAAATAAACTCTTAAATCATACTGCAGTCTATTTTACAGAAGGGACGTGCAAATTTATAGTCCAACCATTTAGATGTAAAGTCTACTCCTGGTAACCTTGCCAGTACTTTTATTAAAAAAGAAACAACAAAGTAAAAACAAACAAAAAAGTACAATTGTTCATTTGATAAGTGCAAATTTGTTACTGGCTTAGAATTTTAATGACTGTGATCTCAGGACCCAAGTTAATCTGAAACTCTGAGAAGAAAAAAAAAGTGAGAACAGTACATGGAAAAGGGAGTCTGAAATAGCTAGATAGGAGCTTTATCATTCTTGATATCTATGTTATCAAAATTGAGGTGATAATTTTGCACGCAAACAGTGTGCTAGCTTTAAAGCAGGAATCTAGGTTCATTTTTAAAAGTTTGGTAATTCATGTTGGAGATGAGTAAATGGGTCCACACTGCTTTACAAATTAATTAGCACATCTGTTCAATCAACAAATATATATCACATTCTCAATGTGTGAGACACTCTAAGATAGTTGCTACTTTTTTAAAACCCCAAAATATAAGCTCTTGACTCATTTTCCTGGGGTTTTCCCCTTCTTGTAGTTAGAGCTACATGGTCTATATTATTAGTATTTAAGAAACTCCTCTAATTTTCTTTTTTAGGTAACAGATTTACATGGTTCAAAATTCAAAGGTAATGGTGAACCCTACTTTCCACTTTAGTTCCCCAGTCACCTAGATCCCTTTCATGAAGGTAAAGAATGCTGTTGATTTCTCATGCCTCCTTCCAGTTACGTTATGTAAGAAAATATATATCCCTCCCTGGGGCTTCTCTGGTGGTTCAGACAGTAAAGAATCTGGTTGCAATGCAGGAGACCTGGGTTGGGAAGATATACTGGAGGAGGAAATGACAACCGACTACAGTATTCTTGCCTGGAGAGCTACAGTCCACGGGGTTACAAAGAGTTGAACACAACTGAGTGACCCACACACGCATCCCTTCCTGTTGCATATATTTTACAGAAATACTATCATACTACAAATACTGAACCTTACTTATCTCAGTGGCTACTTTACACTGCCTCAACAGCAAGATGAAGAGATACCATTTCAAGTGCATGACTGCAAGCCAGCCAACAGATTAACAGCCACGTCTTCAAGGTGGGACCTGACTTGGCTGGGTGGGAGTGGAGTAAAAAAGCCACCATGCAGAGGCTTTTGTGCAAGAGGGAGAGTGGCTGAATTTAAGACTGGAGGAAAAGGCAGGGGCATGTTTCACAAGGCCTTACAAATTCTTGGACTGTTTTAAATTGGGAAATATAATTTACATTTTAAAAAGATCATTCAGATTGTAACATGGAGGACAGATAAGGGACTAAGTCACGAGACAAGCAGTTGTCTAAGAAGTGACTGTCACAATAGGTGGCAGAAATGAAAGGAGTCTGGACAGAGAATTTATTTTGGAGGCAGTGTTGACAGGATTTGCTGAAAGGAGATTAAGAAACAGGAGCTATTTCAAGATGATTCCTAGGCTTCTGGCTTGAATAGCTGAGTTTTGGGGCACTAAAATATATTTTATTAAGTATTTTATTACTGTTAATATTAACAAATTAAGATATAAGGCACCCAAATGAAGATGTCAAGTTACCAGTTGGAAGCTGTGATTCAACAGGCAAGAATTAGGTAATGATAAATGAGTTGGTGGCATGCAAACAGTAGAGATAAGATCAACTAGAGAAGTTAGAGAAGATAGCCCAGTACTACTGGAAAGTCAAGCAATACACAAACAAGTAAAGGAGACTGAGAAGGACCAGCCAGGATACAGGAGGAAAATAAGAGAGATTCAAAGAGCACTAAGTAGCCGACTGTTAAATACTGCTGAGAGGATAAGATGGAGAAGTGACTACTTGATTCAGCAATACTGAGAACACTGGTCATCTACTGGGATACAGAGAATTTTAAGTATAGAAGGTAATGCAAAACAGGTCTACAAGGTTTAGCTTTCAAGTTAAGTAGAGTGAGTAGACACTGCTGATGGTAGAGTCAAGAGAGCTGTTATTTATAGGAAGAATACATCTGTATCTTAGTATAACTATTAGACTAAGTGAAAAATACTGGTGAATAAATCAACTTGTGAAAGTAAGGTACAAAACTGAGTAATTTAGTGCTTTGTATTGTAATCATTATGCATGAAACTGTGCCTAAATTGAAAACCCATTCTCCACTTGGTTTATCAGGGATAAATATATATATCTAATATCAAATTTTGGGGGCAATGTATCTAATATTAAATTTTGGGGGCAAATAAACACATACCATCATCCCATTTAGATCTTCCCTTCTTTATCTAAAATGGGTTATACCATATGTACTGTTTTACCAACTGTGAGAACTTGAAAGGAAAAAAATTTTAACATCCATTTTTAATTGGTGAAATGGCATTTTGGCATGCTTCCATCATTTGGGGGGCATCTGAAACAATACTTCAGTAAAATCAAGAATACCTGAAATGTGGTACAAAACATTTTTATAATACTTAAATGAGAAATGTATTTGTTTACATTTATAGCTCCCAATGAACATGATGACCCTACTCAATGTGAAACCAAAAAAACCCACTATTCTTGAATCTGTTATTTTACAATTTAAGGAAATGAGTCCTTCACTCTACTCCAGTTCTGTATGATGTCATTTATTTATTGGATTATCTTAAACTAGTTATTTCCATCAATTAAACCTACATAATTTTCCTGATTTACTGGGCAATTATCAAATCACTCTCTTGTGGGGACACACTGCTCCCTTCTCCTGGTGCACACAAGGTTTTGTTTGTGCCCTCCAAGAATCTGTTTCCCCAGTCCTGTGGAAGTTCTGTAATTTAATCCCACTGGCCTCCCAAGTCAAATTCCCTAGGGGGTTCTCAGATTCTCCAGGTTAGGAAATCTGTTGTGGGTCCTAGAACTTTAACAGTACGAGAATTTCTCTGGTATAATTGTTCTGCAGTTTGTGGGTCATCTGCTCAGTGTCTCTATGGTGCGACTGATGGTGACCTCCTCTAAGAGAACTTATGCAACAGGCTGTGACTTGCCTGTGAGTGTCCAGGAGTCTGGGTGACAGTTTGGCCTTAAGCCAAACAACAGGGAGGGAACACAGCCCTGCCCATCAACAGAAAATTGGATTAAAGATTTATTGAGCATGGAAAAGACCCTGATGCTGGAAAAGAGGGCAGGAGGAAAGGGGGAGACAGAGGATGAGATAGGTTGGATGGCATTACCAACTCAATGGACATGAGTTTGAGCAAGCTCTGGTAGTTAGTGAAGGACAGGGAAGACTGGTGTGCTGCAGTTGATGGGATCGCAAAGAGTCAAACACAGCTGAGCAACTTAACTGAAGTATCAAATCTTCCAAAAACTAGATCAAACCAAGAAAAGTGGCATTTCTTCCTAGTTTTGTAGAAAAATGTCACTGATTTCCAAGCACAGTACTTAAGTTTAAGGTGAGAAGGGTATCAAACATTAGTAGAGATCACGAGAAGCAGAGCTAACATTTGCTGACCCTTCAATCTTGAAGTTATGATTCCACATTACAAGATGGGATGAGACTACATGGCATGAAAAATATTACAATAGTTTTGCAGCAGGAAATCAGGCAAGCTACAGAACATAAAAGCACCAGAATTTTATTGGATAAGGCAAAGACTGAGAAACACTAGCTGAGATAAAGTTTCTGGGATAATCAACTAATAAGGCAGTAGGACACATTTCATTTTCAAATGTCTTTTTTCCTTTCTCAACATAAGAAAATCATTCATTTTACTATTCTCTGTGTGATGATGTTCCAAATTTTTGTGATGTTTATTGCTTTAAATAATACCTATTATATCTTTTATAACTATTTTGCACTGACTTTCCAATATTACTAGTTAACTCTTTCATAGCACTTTCTTTGGGTACATAGTACCCAAACTTATCTAAGCATTAACCTGTTACTGAACATTTTTGTTTTCAAGGTCTTGCTCTTATAGACTATTTTGGCCACTATGAGACCTGGTGATAGGTAACTAACACCTTAGGAAATGCTTATATGGGGATTTGCTTAGTAACGTATAATAATTTGAAAAATGTTTTAAAATTTTTATTTTGAAAGAATGAAAAATCTGCTAAATAGAAAGTCTTAGTGGAAGAGAATAGGTAACAAATTCCTACATCCTGAACAAGGGTACATAGAAGGATGTCAGAAAACAGACACCACCACAGAATAATATCTTAAATAATGATTTTATTAAAAATGGGAATGGGGAACACTTCATGGTTGATGTTGAGTGCTTTGAACTATGGGCCCAGGCCCCTGGGGATTTGTTCTTTATACTTTGTGGAAAGTGTGAGCAGCAGAGCTGTAAATGAACATAAGGCATACTGAATTATGGTAGCTAACTAATGTTCATTATGGCTTTGTTTTAAGGTAATATGATTATATACCATAAAATGTCAATAAAGATATTACTGGGATTTATTATAAAAGGCTTTAAGTTGTTGACTTCAATTACCAACCACTGGAAACAGTGACATTATTAGAGTAAAAGAAAATTACTTGGTAGTAATCATTCATTTCATGGTGCACCACTTCATACCTTATTTGGCAATATAATCATACCATTTATTAAAAAGCAAAAACGTCTTTCACCCAGTGCATGATTTAAGAGCTAATATAATGTGTATTTGGCTACATTTTAAGATTTTTGTCCATTCAAAATTGAGTCCTTTATGTTAAGCATCATGAGAAGCTCTTTAAAGGGAGTACATTATCACTTTAGAGTGTATCTAAATATAAATATCTAACTCTCCAGGTTTCTCTGTCCATGGAGATTCTCCAGGCAAGAATACTAAACACTGTGGCTCAGCTGGTAAAGAATCCGCCTGCAATGCAGGAGATCTGTGTTCAGTCCCTCGGTTGGGAAGATCTCCTGGAGAAGGAAAGGTACCCACTCCAGTATTCTGGCTTGGAGAATTCCACGGGGTTGAAAAGAGTCGGACATGAGTGAGCACCTTTCAGGCTTCCCTGGTGGCTCAGAGGGTAAAGAGTCTGCCTGCAATAAGGGAGACCTGGGTTTAATCCCTGGGTTGGGAAGATCCCCTGGAGGAGGGCATGGCGATCTACTCCAGCATTCTTGTCTGAAGAATCCCCATGAACAGATGAGCCTGGAGTGTTAGACCATGGGGTTGCAGAGTCCCTTGTGGCTCAGCTGGTAAGGAATCCACATGCAATGCAGGAGGACCTAGGTTTGATCCCTCGGTTGGAAAGATCCCCTAGAGAAGGGAAAGGCTACCCACTGCAGTATTCTGGCCTGGAGAGTTCCACGGACTTTCGCTTTCACTTAGATTAAGTATATCAACATACTGAAGCTGATTTTTAAACCACACTTCTTCAACAAATACAAAACTACGTGGATAGTAAATAAGTCTAATAAGCATTTCATTTGATGCATTAACACCTAATGGTCAAAAAAGATAACCAGGTGCTTGAAAGAATGGCCTGACAGGGTGCACACAACTAAAACGCAGCTTAAAAAAGTGGGATAAGGTTAACATCCCTCTCATATACCCACCAAACAAAAAAAAAAACAAGTTAAATTGCTCATAAAGGGCTCTCCAGTGTGCTTTCTCATGACAACTTTCTGCTATTGAGTCATGGAATGGGATCTTTCCATAAACTTGAAAAAGACGACACGATAATCAGGCTCCTTCTTTTATTTAAGTTTACCATTTACCTTTCTGAAATCAAAACAAAAACAAAACATATTTGTGACTTCTATTACAAGCATCCTCTTCACGAAAGGAAAAAAAAATGAAGGGAGAAAAAGATAGGAAAGCAAACAAATACCACATACATTTCATAACTGCATGTTATTAATCATACTTAAGACTCTTGGCAATAGGTTTTTCATTTTCTCAGGTCATTGCATATTATCTGAAGACAGAAAAGGCTTTGGAATGCAAAGCATTTAGAAGCAAACCAATTCCTAAGGAATCCTTTTGTAAGAGGGGAGGATAAGTGCTAAAAATGATGATGTTAAGAGAAAACTATTAAAAAAGAAAATCCCACTTTGAGAAAGCAGGCTAACGCTGCTGCTGCTAAGTTGCTTCAGTCGTGTCCAACCATACGACCCCATAAACGGCAGCCCACCAGGCTCCCCCATCCATGGGATTTTCCAGGCAAGAGTACTGGAGTGGGTTGCCGTTGCCTTCTCCAAGCAGATGCTACATATGATATTAAAAAACTGGAATTCTTCCAACTGTTTTAAAGTTTTGACGTTTTTACAAGAAGACACATTTTCCAATCCCCTCAAAATTTTAACATTTATGTACCAGGCTGTAAGTTCCCAGACACTGGGTTCACATTAACTGACTCATTGTCACAAATGTTAACTTAACCCAACGTTCTTAATGGAGCATGAAGAAAAAAACTTTAAAACAATATTTTCAGGAAACACTTTTATTACAACATTAATAAAAATTAGGGTCTATAGTTGTTGGATAAAGTGAGCAGAAAGATAAACATGCGCGAAAGGTAAGATCTACTTTTGCTGTTTTTACTTCAATATTAACTACTAAGGTCTAGCTAACCTTACAATTAAAACTTCTCTCTCCTGCTGCGGTGGAGGTGAAATGAGATAATTTTTCTTCATCTTAAAAAAGCCTGTAAAAGAAGAAAACTTGGTGGTGGGGGGAGGGGGGGCTATAAAGAGGACAAATACCTTTTTGGGGGAGGGAATAGAATTCTCTACCAATAACCATTTCCCAGCCATACTCTGCTTTCAAAGCTCAAATTCTAACCCCAATACTCTTTTGTGATTGCTTCCCCTCAAATAATTCTAAAACCTGAACACTCAGAGAAAAATGTTTATATAGCATATATTTATTTATATAATTGCTTAAACTATGGACTTAAAAGTTCTATATAAGTATGCAATGCCCAGTACTTACTGATTAACTGTTGATGAAGACAGGGCAATAGCATTTTGGCTCCACCATCTAGCTCAACTGCAATCAATTAAAGAGATTCACGAAGAATATGCTGGTTCTAGATCAGTCCCAAAAAGCATATTTTGGGATGAGCCTATCAACTAAAATAGTAAAAAAAAAAAAAAAAAAATTAGGTTGTTTGGTGGCACATAAAAGTACTTAGTATATGGGGGTTAAAATAATAAGATTATCACAAAACAAGAAATGCATTTTTTCTCCATAACACGTAATTTCAGAAAGGACCAAGCTATTTTTTGTCCCTAGTGAATGAAGGGAAAAAACTTGATTTTCACACCAAATTTTACAGTCTGACTACTTTAACGATAAAGAACGTAAACAATATTTTCCTGAACCTTAACTAAGTTCTCTAAATTTTAACCTAATAAATGAATCTTACCACTACAACATCATAGTAAAAAAGCTAAGTTTTTGGTGTAACATCACCACAGTTTTTAAACGTTTAAGTGATGGTAAACTATTCACATCACTAAAATATTTTAAAAATGCAGTGATACTCAGTTATTTGAAACATAAATTTAAGACCCCAGCTCAAAGGAAAAAAAAACTGAAGTAATGGAAAACACGAAAATCCTTCACTGAAACATTTTTCTGTTTGTAAAACTTTTAACACAATGCAAGAATGTTTTACTTCAAATGCAGCTTAAAAGCTATAAATGGCTGTCTTTCGTGAACTCGAAGCAAAGGTAAAAATCAGTGAAGATAAAACATTTTCAATGGTATTATTCTAAATTTAAAATACTGAATACTAGAAAGTAATCCTACAGAATTCGCATTTTGTCAAATGTCCCAACGAGTAGCCTCACCTACTGTCAGAAAGAAGGTGCACAACGATGAATCAAAGTTACGAGAAAATAGCCACTAGATTTGAATTTCTAAATTAAATCAGGGAAACGGAGTCCTTTTACACTTCATAGACTTATCACCTCTCCTTATTTACACCAAATTATTTGTATTCTAAAAACATATGCTGTATCATTCAACTGCATAGAACAGCATTTCGTCACTTCTACCCTCAAATCTACGCCGCAGATTCCCTTAAGATTCTCAACGTCTATTTCAAAGGACGAAGATTACAAATTTTAAAAACTTCCTCGAATCTCGGCAAAACACAATTCCTATTTTGCAGGCGCATTTTCCTGTTCTCCGTCGGTTTAGGGTTGTCTCCCCGCACTCCAGGTCCCATCTTTCCCTTTTCTAAAAGACTCAGGCTGACAACCTGAGTTGTTCGGCCAGCAGCCCCGATTCCCTCCGCCTGGGCCATCAACAGCTGAGCGAGAGAGAACCCCCAAAGATGGGAGATTTGAAGACACAAAAAGGTACGAGGGAAAAACGAGCTGCGGTGGGGTGGGGCGAGACCCGCCCCAATTCTCTCAATCTCATCCAAGCCCACCTCTCCTTCGCTAAACCAAAAAACCCCGAAAAGATAACAAAAACATAAGAAAGGACCCCCCCCCCTTGCCCCCCAGAAAGCTAAGAAGACTTCCTTACTTTCCGTGTTCCCGGGCCCAATTCTCTAGCCAAGCTCTCGGCCCACCCCACCCCCAGGGGTCCCGGCGCCATTTAGCTCTTCCATAGCCGCCATTTTCCGCCCCCGCCAGATCGCTAGCTGTGCCTCGGCGGCAACTCGCTCCCGTTCTGAAGCCCACGCCACCGCCGCAGGCCCGGCCCCGAAAAGGAGGCCCTGGCCTGAGCTTGCGGGAACGGCAGCTTCGGCGTCACGAAGGCCCAGCTCCGACCCCGCCCGCGGTGCCCGAGTGCCGGCAGCTGGCGCCGGCCGGCAGGAGCAGGCGGGCAACAAGGGGGCCGGACAGACTCCACTGGGCGGAGCGGCCCTGGCGGCGGTTGGGACCTGAAGGTTCTATCGCACTTACTTCCTGTTTTGGGTCCGGGCACTTTGGAAGAACCAGGATGGAGGCTCCAAAAAATACCAGGATGGAGGAAGCAGCCACGGGCAAGAGTGGCTGCAGCTGGAGTGAGCGAGCGCGACGAGCCACCGGAAACGGAGCTACGGCCGCGCCCCGCCCCCAGTCCCCGCACGCTCCCCCGCCCGGCCTCCTCTCCCTAGGGTTGGCCCTGCGCGCCGGCCTTTGCGTCACTTCCGGCCAAGTCGGCGCGCCAAAAAGCGTCTCTAGATATTGGCGTTTCTGTATCGGTCAGAGTAGGGGTTGTTTTCTGCTGTTTTCTTTAGATCATACTAGGAAATTTAAGTACAGACTTCCCCGTTACTGATACTGTGTAGGAAGACCGTCTTTCTTCGGCGCAGCTGTGATCCTTTTGGCCCGGGGATTGTTGGCTCTCGCGAGCCGACTTTCGTAATTACCTAGGGCCACAGAACCGAGGGAGCCGCCGTGTGGAACGGCTTGAAAGCGGGGTCTGGATGCAGAGGAAGGCCAGGAATTGTGTGTGTGGCTCTTCTGACTGGGTCTGCCCTGCTGTGGGCGCGTAGACGTGTTATCTGTTGAGCATGTGATGCAATTCTTGGTGAAATGTATGCTCTGTGAGTGTAGGAAGATGGTGGTCTGCAGTGCACGGTACGCCTTACAAAGCCCGGCCCTGACGCGTTAGTTGCTCGTTACCCGGGGAGCTCTCAGGAAGAGAAAGACTCGGCCCCGCTCCCAGAGTCGTGAACCTGCCAGAGAACCGTCTCGGCAGAAATTTTTGTTTTCAAAGAGTTTCGAAAATGAGTGGTCCGAACCCTGTTAACAACTCTTGTGATTCTGACCTCATTTTGTTTATAAAACTGGTTTACTGTGGCCTGCTTTTCTCTCACTAGGGGGGTGAGAGGAGTTCAGAAATGAGATTTGAGAAATTTCTTGCGTCCAGTAGGTATGTGTAGACTCACACTACATGGTCGCAGTGGAAATGTGGTCAGCATCAATTGTAAAGGTCAAATGAAGGCTTTCAAGATGTGAATATATACGTCTTGAATTGAACTTAACTAATCAAGTCAGTAATGCTTACTTTCTTTTCCTCTATTTTTCGCTTTTTTAAAAAAATTGTTTTATAGAACTGATTTTTTTTTTTTGAATACAAAATATAGTTGAAAGACTTCGTGGAAGTGACACTAATTCTTTGAAGAAAGTGGAAGAAAGTATACACAGAAATGGGTTTAGATAGATAAATATTTGTTTAGATTTTAAGCCAAAGGTACATAAGTTTTCCCAGTAGTGCACATTATCTATTCTTTGGGATAACATTCTCACTCATAAATGTCACATTTCATAAAAAAAGTGGAAAAGGAGATACCATCACACACCAATTAGAAGTGCTAAAATCCAAAACACCAAGTGCTAATGAGACTTTGGAACACTAGGGAACCTCTCATTCATTGATTGAATGCAAAAATGGTACAGCCACTGTGGAAATCTTTTTGGTGGCTTCTTACAGAACAAAGCATATTCTTACCCTGTGATCATTAGTTACTTCTTGATATTTATCCGGAATAGTTGAAACTTTATGTCCACATAAAAACCTGCAGATGAATATTTATCTGTGATCCTTTTGGCTCGGGGATAGTTGGCCCTCGCGAGCCGACTTTCGTAATTACCTAGGGCCACAGAACGGAGGGAACCGCCATGTGGAACGGCTTGAAAGCGGGGTCTGGATGCAGAGGAAGGCCGGGAGTTAGTTGTGTGTGTGACTCTTCTGACTCAAACAACCAGGGTATGCTTCAGTAAGTAAGTGGATAAACTGGTACATCCTGTACAATGGAATATTATTTAGTGCTAGAAAGAAATGAGCTATCCATGAAAAGACAAAGGAATGAAGAGACATGGGGGAATCTTAAATGTATACTGCTAAGTGAAAAAAAGTCTATCTGAAAAGGCTACATATTGAATGAGTCCAACTATCTGACATTCTGGAAACGGGGAAACTATGGAGTTAATAAAAACATCAGTAGTTGCCAGGATTTGAGGCCAGAGGAAGCAAAATAGGCAGGGCACAAGAGGGTTTTTTAAGGCAGCAAAATGATTCTGTTTAATGCTATAGCAGTAGGTACATTGTGTTATGCGTCTATCAAAACCCATAAAATGTATAGCACTTAGAATATAGCAGTAGATACATCGTGTTATACATTTATCAAAACCCATAGAACATAACCTGTGGACTTTGGTTGTTAATGACATGTCAGTGTTGGTTCATCCTTTGCAATAAATGTACCACTCTCTTGGGGGATGTTGATATTGGGGGAGAGTATGCATGTATAGGGTAAGGACTCTATGGGAACTGTCTGTACCTTCCCCTCAGTTTTGCTGTGAATCTTGAATGGTACCCCACAAAAGTAAGGTCTAGTTTAAAAAAAATATATGAACTGAGTTTGGACAAGGTTAGATAACATTTTTTGAGTGCTTATGTATCATTTAAGTGATTTCCGCATATTAAATGGGTTTAACATTCACAAGTGCCAAAGCTTCAGTATAGTTATTGTAAATGGTCCCCATTTTGGACAAGGATCAAATAAGTGAAGGAATGTGTCCAAGGACACACAGCAAATAAGTGGCAAAGTCAGAATAGAAGCCTCAGCTCCAAGTCTATGGTCTGCACTACCCTCTTGCAGTTCATAAAGTACATTTTGCAAGTCTTTTTATAATGAAAAATTATTACAACCAGTTTCCAGATTCTTTACTAAACTGGAAGATGGATATGTCTGACCATTTTTCAAAAGTAAGTGTCAGGAGCAGCATTTTATTGCCTCTAACATTATTACCAATTTGTGGTAATCTCTGCATCCCCTGTGGTTATGGCTGGTATCAGTTTTTAAATGAGTACATAACCGTAGGTAACCAACACCATGAGGCAGGGTCTTGTTGTGGTACAGATTGTGGAGTCAGACCCAAGTGTGAATCTTGACTATATTGCTTAGCAGTGGATATAGTACTACACATCTCTAAACTTCACTTGCTTTTGAAAAGTGGAGATACTAAAATACCAGAATGATGTAGGTAGAATGCTTTGCACAGAGCCTGTCATATGTTTTAAGCACTTAAAAATGGAAAATAATAAACCTCTGAACCAGAAAAGCAATTAAATTACTGAAAGTAGAGTTCTAATGAGATAATAATTATGTGTATAAAATTGTTAACATTATCATTTAGGAATTGGTTCTTAATTAGCTACATTTTCCACAAAACATAACCATATCGGATTCTTCTTGGCTGAGGCATAAGACAGTGGTATCTAAATTATAATTGCTACCCATTCTCTCCTGAAAAAGGTTAGTCTGCATTTGGCTGTTAAGTTCCTAAAAAAGTCAAGTTCATCCTCGTAATTTTTCCTTTCTGGGCGAGTTTCCTTCATAACTACCTTTCCTCAAGGTCAGTTGATATTTACTCTGGGAAAACAAGTCTATTTTAGTATCAGTTTAACCCATAACTTTAAAAGTAAATCTATAGTAGTAACATCTCTTTAACTTGCCTAATCAGTGTAAGAGAATCCATAACAGTTTTAAACCTGGAGAAACTTTCTGCAATTAGAATTCTAGGTGTTTCATACCTCACTATTTAGTAGTACCTAGAGAATGCATGTGGAGAAGGCAATGGTACCCCACTCCAGTACTCTTGCCTGGAGAATCCCATGGATGGAGGAGCCTGGTAGGCTGCAGTCCGTGGGGTCGCTAAGAGTCTGACACGACTGAGCGACTTCACTTTCACTTTTCATTTTCACACATTGGAGAAGGAAATGGCAACCCACTCCAGTGTTCTTGCCTGGAGAATCCCAGGGACGGGGGAACCTGGTGGACTGCCGCCTATGGGGTTGCACAGAGTCGGACACGACTGAAGTGACTTAGCAGTCACAGAGAATGCATGAGAGTTTTACTGTTATCCTAGTAATTACCTACTTAGGAATGAAGTGTTTTCTAGAAAAATCTGGAGAAATAGTTTTTTCGCAAACAGAAGGTATTATGAAAGTATAGGACACTTACGGTGTTTACTTCATTTGCTAGTTATGATTAACTCTGTTGGACTCCAGATTTTTTATAACACTTTCATGAACCTCATCAGCAATAGAATATTGACTAAATGACCTTTTCTTTTTGAAAGGTTGATAGGTTGGTATGTTAATATAAAAGTGGTTCAAATACTGAGAGGCAAATTCTATTGTTTCATGATTATTTTGTGTTCTAGATGTCATGATTCAGGAAAGAGTTGTTTGCAATAACTTTTGTTAGTAAATGAAAAATATTATTACTGAGTAGCCCATTTTCTTTCTACACAGTCTCTTGAGTTCTGCTAATACGACGGATGTGTGTACATTGGAAGGCCTTCCAGAATTTCTGGTGAGCTGATGGGAATTCCTATGCTAACAGAGAAATGAGCAAACTGTCTCTACCTAGGCCCACACATCAGACCTTTCCAAGTCCTCTTCTGTCTCAGATTTTGTCATCTAGGTCTTTCTATGGGGCTTAGGGCACTCCATCTCATAACTCCTTCCTACCCTCCAGTTGTGTCAGTGTCTCATCTCTATACTTCTTTTAATCTGTCAGCCTGGTTACCACCACTCCATATCCTCTTCACTTCATTTTCTTTTGCAGTAGGTCTTTACTGAGGCCTTTTAATGGAACATTAGCAAAAATTCATTCCTCTTCTACTTAGGAGAATGGAGAACTTCAGAATCTCGCAGCAAATGAGAATAAAAGTTTTCATTCTGTC